CTCTGTTTTCGACAGGTCCCCGATGTTCCCCCATCAGTATGGAACTCGCTGACAGTGAATGCAGAATCAACGTTGGGGGAAAGCCAGAACCAAGGCATGGCAGAAGAGCTGGTCTCAACCAAGGCTACCGCCTGGAATTGGGTGACCTCCATCTTTCATTGTGTATATGTTTGTCGGGGGCCGAGCAATACTCTGTTGAAGAAACCCGGGCCCCCGGGTTTTAAACCCGCCGCTCTTGGTGTGTGGCTTTGGGCTTGTCTCCTTCAGTGCCTTTGTGCAGAGCTTCGAGGGACTGCTGGTTTGGGGCCTTTCTCGGTGTTTTGAGGGGGGGTTGCCGTAAGTCTAGGTTTTGCCTGGTGCTACCGCGTCTGACTTGTCACATCTAGAGGGCCTTTCCTTCTTCATATCCTGCTTCTAAAACGCGAGGGGTTTTTTTTCCGCATCGGCATCTACCTTTTGCGTCCATGGCGGGGTGGGGGCCCGCTCCCCTTGGGGCGAAACTTTTGGGGTTCAACGTTTCCATCCATCGCTCATTGCAGCACCTGTCTCGCATTCCTCCGTGGGGCGCCTCTTCGATGGTCATCCCTACCTGGGGAACATATTCTTCTTCGGGGGCCCGTTCACGGTACTATCGGTTTTTTTTGGCTTTTCCCGATGCCCGAAACCCCAAAATGCTACTTCCGAGCTTTTGGGGGCGTATGATGGGCCCCCTGAGCGGCTTCTGGAGGACCATGGGGCGAAAAAAGGGCGAAAATATTGGGGGGCCCAATTTTGGGGCGCCTTCAAAGATATCAACAATTACTTTCTGCGCTCGGATTCTTTTCATCAAATCACATGCAAAGGGTACGCTCTTTTTGGTGGCACCATCCCAAAAAGGAAGGGGCATAAAACGCTGACAGTACCCCCTAGCCTACTATTTTTAAAAAACCTGGGATGGACCGCCACGGGGGCCCCTCACCCCGGTACCTCCCCCACGCTTGCGCCTGTCTCATCGCCATCGCCGTCGCGACCGTCTCCGATAAGACGAAGCGGCGGGGGATCTACCTTGCCATCTTCACCCTTCCCGCCATCGCTGGCTTTTGTATTATGCTATGGTCAACCGACTCCAACGCACGTTATGGGGGTATCTTCTTGATCACAGTCGGATCCTTCCCCGGAGGCCCCGGATTCCTTGCATGGGCAGCAAACAACGCCGGTGGACCAGCGTTTCGCGCCGTATATATGGCGTGGGTAGTGACGCTGGGCACGGCTGGTGGTATTGTTGCAACCTGGTCAGTCAACCCAATGCAATGGCTCCCTTTGGTATCAAGCTGATGCATCGTAGGATATACACCGTCCATGACGCACCGAGGTACCCCAAGGGTCATAAGGTTAATCTATGCGGTCAAATCGGCGTGTGCCTCTTGGCATGCTTTGGCATCGCCTACTGCAAGTGGGAGAACAAGCAGCGCGACCTGGGCAAGCGCGATCACCGTTTGATCAACCCTACCCCAGCCAAGATCAAGAAACTCGGTAACAGACACCCTGAGTTCCGCTTCATGTACTAGGTACGCATGGTTGCGTGTCCGATACGATCACTTCTGTATGGTTGTCAGATTAGATGAGATAATGCATAGAATTAATAGATGTTGATTATTTCGTGTCCCTTCCCTGGAAGGTGGTGCTATCACGATGTATATGCTCTCGTACAAATAAGGCCGAAGTAGGATCGAGGCGGGTTGGCCAACATGGCTGCAATCGACACCGATGCTAAATTGCCTGCTGGATGGCCTTCCATCTGACAGCAACACATGCTATCTGACAATGGTGTTTCCATTTTGCTGCCTGTCGTTGGTGCATCATTGTGGTTCAGAAGTTGACTTGCCTGATTTTTGCTGTGCGCGGAACGCTCGACACAACTAATTCCTTTCTTGGGCCCCTTTTGGGTTTCCGCAACGCCTGGGGAAAATCCCCACGGGCATTTGATGAACACCGTACTTTGCAGCCGCTTTACCTTAGGCAGACCTCTTCTCTTACCACCTCACCTTGCGATTGAAGAAAACAATTAGCAAAACCTTGTCAACTGTTGCTGCAAGCCATCTCTCACTTAGCCTAGGAAGGACTCACAACACGGCATGGTTTCAGTCGCCGGCAAGGCAGAGAGCTGCCGTGTCACGAAAGATGATCCTGCCTTGTTCCACTGTCGATGAAGATTAAACACACCACTGGCACATGCCATGTATCCGCTCTCAGACGCTAACGTCCGTCCCTGGGTAATGGGACACCCTGCGTGGCGGGACGCCACTGACACTCCCCAACACAACAAACGCAACGACAGGGCAGAAGAACAGATATTCTCGGAATAGTAGCCTTGAGCTATATAGTCTATTCTCTTCTGGTGTCTTTTAGGAATAGATCTTGCTTACTGCGCAATACGACAATGTAGCATAAACGTCACGCGACCGCCTCGCTGACGTCGAGACTTGTGGCTGTGTGGCTATGTGGCCGAGTGGCTGAGTGGCCGTGCGACGCTTTTGCCAAGCGCTTCAGGACACTGGAAAACCGGCTCGGATTGGGAGCAGGGCTAGGTTTGAAGTCCCCCAGCGTTTAGCTCGCGACAACAAACACACCCAGCATCGGAACCGCAACTAGCTTCCGACACAGCTATTGTGCAACTTTAAGACGCGTGCAACGCACGACTATAGCTAACGCGAAAGTTGCCACGCCACAGAGATAAACCATCGCGCCGCCCTCTAGCTCCGCAGACCCGCCGCAGCTCCCTCGTCCGACCCACCACGTTCTCGTGCTGTCGAGCATGTCGCGACCGATACTTATACCAAGCCGTAGCCGAATACTGCTTTGGCTCGTAGAAGGGCACAACGAGTTAAGAAGCGTCTGAGAAGAATGTGTACAGGACTCACACAGCGGGCATTTAAAAAAGGAGACAGACCCGGGGGATGCTACAAAATACCAAGATCCGGGGTCTGGGGTTTTGGGGCGGGCGGGTGCTACTGGAAGATCGCCGTTGCTTGACGCACACACAAAGGTGGAAAGGGTCTACATATCTTAGAGATACAGCTGTTGTATGGTTATACAACGAACAGCTTCTCGTATGAGCACTGCGGTTATTAGGGCAGAGGAAAGGTGCTTTAGTATAATCTCTAAGGGTGATGAGGAGTTTGGGTCGTTGATGCTCATAAGCGCTGGTAGGGGTAGAGCAGAGCTCTGGTAGTACCCACGCATGGTAAGGTACTGCGCTATCTAAGGCTGCATGCCGTCCTGTCATCGATCATGGGCCTTCCATCTCTTCGCAATGCCATCCAGTGCGGACGTTCACGGCAAGGGTATGGCAGGTGCGGGCTGGCCACTCACCCTGCTACCGAGAGCAACATCAAGAGCCAAATCACCTTCAATGTTGTTCGATTCTGCTTCTAAACGCGCTTGCTCAACCACGTGATGCTCAACCCTAGTGGCTCAGTCATCCTGCCGTTGCTTGCCCCCACCATCGTCATGAACTCTCTGCTTTCGGGTTTTCCTCACGACACGTGTCTACTATTGGGTTTGGAAATTTTTGGCCCCCCTTTTACCCCCTTTCTTATAGTGCCTGGGGGGGCGGTCGGTTTTTATCACTATCTTGAATTTAGTAACGCAGACAAAACATTACTTCAGCAATGCCCTGCCGTCCCACCAAATGGTTGCTCAAAAGTAAACCCGGGAAAACCTAGAATCTGGGGGAGAGATATCAACGCCATTGCACAAGCCAGCCGCCGAATTTACTGTCTCCCAGTGGGTACCTCTACCGCTAAAAGGCCCAAAAACCGGAAACTCCGGGGCTGTTGTGGGCTGCCCGACATGGCCAAGAAAGGGGACGGGGCGAAAGTCCCCTTTAGGGGAAAAAACCAAAACAGGCCACAAAAGATGGCGGCCAAGCACCGCTTTTTTGGCGTGAAAAGGGCCTTTAAACAGGTAGTAAGGCTGCTGGTTACAAAACCGAGGTCCCCCAAGGGGGGATATGGCAACCCCACCCAGGCGGCTTCAGCCAGAGGCGACGAGGCAGTGGTGAGGCTGGCCTTTGGGAAAGGGGGCCGACGTCAACGCGCAAGGGGGGGGCACTATGGCAACGCACTCCAGGGGGTTCAGCTCGAGGCTCCCAGGCGGGGTGAAGATGCTGTCAAAAAAGGGCCCAAAAGTCAACGCGCAGGGTGGATACTACGGAACCCCCACCCAAGGGGGCCAGGGGGGGCGAAGAGGGGGGGTGGGGGCGCCGTCGACAAGGCGCGAGATTCGCCGCCCGGGTGGGGTGGGTGGGCCCGGAGGGCCTTGGGGGGCTTGGGTTTTGGGGGCTATGAGGCAAATGGTGAAGATGCTTTTCTCCCACAAAGGGGGGACCCCAACCGCGGGGGGGGTACTGCCGCACCTCTGAGGGAATGAAGGGTCAGGCGGTGGTAGGGCTGCTGCAAGGGGGCCCAAAACCGCGGGGGGGAAACCTTGGAACCCCCCAGGCGGGTTCAGCTCAGGCTACAGTCCCGTGGGTTTAAAAATGCTAGTGGCTGGGGGCTAAGTCATCATAAAAGGGAAAAAGCATGGCTGGCTAAATTAATTTTTGGAAGAAGATAGTTTAATTTTTAAAACCTATTTATTGGCGGGAACAGTAAAAATGATGGAAAACAACCTAATGGCATTCGTATGCCGCTGTAATGAAAGCAAAGTGCGACAAATTTGCCACCATAAGCTAAGTAGATAGTCGACCCGCACCTGCCACACCCTTGCCATGAACGTCTGCACTGGATGGCATTGCGAGGAGATGGAAGGCCCATGATCGATGACAGGACGGCATGCAGCCTTAGATAGCGTAGTACCCTACCATGCGTAGGTACTATCAAACCTCTACTGGCAACGTTATCACTCTAGCTACGGGCTCCAGTCTTGAGGCTAGTAAGACAGGCTTCACAGATCAACCCACCTTGGTGAGGCAAATGGCGTACACATCTACACACTGGGAGCATTTCGATTGCACAGGATCACAACGCCCATTGCTCCAGCCACTTTCTCACCTCACGTGCATCCACTGCCCGCCCCTCCCTCAACGTCGAGCTGACAGCTTCTGCCTTCTTGGTCGCCAGTCTCGGTAACCCTGTTGCCGTCTCAGGACACAGACCCCTATAGAAGTCGAGCAACTTCAGCCCCGGCACGCGTTCGACATTCTCCTTGGTCAACTGAATCCCTCCCAGCTCCTGAACCCAATCATCGTACGCGACGATCTCGATTTCTACGCCGGCTTGCTTGAAGAAAGACTCGATGACCGGATAGATCTGGCTCCAACTCGTTCGGTGGGGATTAGCCAGATGGTAAACGCGCGTAGGCTCTGAAGCTGGTGCCGTAGCGATATCAACCATAGTCGCGGCCGCTACATCCATCGGTACCCAGTCCACCTGTTCCATGGTTCCCAGCGTTCTTGGCAGCTTTTTCATGACCCTGCTCGCGTGAACCAACGATGGCAGCCATTCGTGTCGGTTCCACGCTGCTCCGCTAGCCTGCGCACTGGGTCCTGCAAGCTGGCTCGCGCGCACGATCGCAGTCTGTATACCGAGGCGATGCGATGCGATTGCGAGGATCTCAGCTGCGACATGCTTGGATTCGCCGTAGCCTTGCGGCAACGGGATCGAGCGGTCGAAAAGCGTAGTGGTAGATTCGGGTACAGCAGAGCCGTCCTGTACGACACTGCCCCAATTGCCTACGCTGGCAATCGACGAGACGAAGGTGATGGACGATTTATGAACAGACTCAGAGGCAAAGTCTACGACGTGCCGGGTTCCAGCGATGTGCGTTGCCTCGTAAGATGAGAGCGAGAGGTTGAAGTTGACAGACCATGCTGAATGGATGAATATCGTGACGCTGGAGAGAAGACGTTCATATACTGCCTTCTCGAGACCAAAACCGGCAAGACTGAAGTCGGCCTGCAGGAATCCGACGTTGTGAAGGCCTGCTTTCGTACCATAGTACTTCACGAAAGCGTGTCTTTGTCGGGTCTCTGCGTCATCCGAACGGTCCAGGCAATACACCTGCTCGATTTCAGGGCGCTGGACAAGGGTTTTCAGCACTTGGCTGCCAAGGCTACCCGTGGAGCCTGTGAGGATCACTGTGTGTTTCGATGGGCGCTCTCGTTCGGCCCCCACCCGCTTCTGTTGGACCATGTCTATCGTATACTTCCTCACCATAGCGCCCAGCTGTTCCTCCCGAGTGATGGAGGGCGCCACTGTTACGCTCGACCGGCTCGCGCTTGGTGACAAGGCCATCGTAAGCTCGTGGACGGTGGGGTTCTGGTAGATGGTTGCGGCCGTGATGTCTGTGCGCTGGAGTTTCGTTCTCAGTGCTTCGGCCAAGGCCAACACGCCTAAAGAATCGACCTCTAGGCTGCAGATGTCGACGTCGTCTAGCGTTCCTTCATGGAACGAAGCCAGGACATCGATAAACACAGCACGGATTGTACTCCTGAGGTCCACATCGGCGCCAGACTCTAGACTGGACTCCCTAGCAAACTTCTCGTCGTTGCACAGTGCCGCGATCTCGTCGTGAAACATGGCGACCGTTTGGAGCCGGATGATCGAGCCCTTGGGCGTGCGCTCGAACGACTTTTCTCTCTCCGTGACAGCAATCTTGTTCTGGTAGATGCGTGCATGGGCAGGTGCCTCCCTATTGGCTTGTTCTACTGTCGGCCATATATGTTCCACCAACGTAGCCGAGTCTATCATGCCAGCCCCGTCTCGCTCCGGCTCGATGAGCAGTCCAGTCTGGAATTTGCCTTGGCCGACGACAAGTGCACCCTTTACGCAAGCATGGGATTCGATGCACTTCTCCATCGAAACAGGATTGACCTTTTCGCCATTGCTGAGCACGATGGTGTCATCTCGTCTGCCGCTGTACTTCCATAAAAAAGGCTTAGTGGGATGCTGTCGGAAAAGATCTTTGGTTAGCCATTTCTCTTCTCCGGGAAGGGTGTGGAAGACAGCTTGACAGCTGGTATCCCTCCGTTCGAGAACGAGCTCGTACAGCTCATTCTCTGCCGGTTTCATGACAGCACCAGCAGCATCGCTCCAGTGAAAATAGCCCCATTCATCTGGCGCTGTTGTGTCGAGACTGGGTATGAGTAAGGCTTCGGTACTGCCAATGATGGTTTGAAGCTTTGTTACTCGACAAAGCTTCTCACCGCTCGCATCAGCCAGAGGCGCACCGCCGAAGAAGACCGTATCTAGTCTGCTGAGTGCATGGAAACCTGCTTCCGTGCCAGACATATCTTCAAGGATCGACGGAGGAAAGACACCCGTAGCTGGTTTGATGGCTGCAATCCCACCGATAACTAAACTGGCGTTCCACAGCTTTCCCGACGGGAGGGTGGCGATCGAACTCCTACACATCAGCGATCGGAGTCCGACCACGATGCCCATTGCGTGGAAGAAGGGCACGGCAGCTAGCATCGGCCTTCTGTCTGCAAGAAATAGCTTCATGGTGCTCTGACGGCCTTGCTCTCGACCCAGGTTTGCTTGCTCGTATACCGAGTTCAGGCCACCTACGGTCAGACGAACGGCCTTGGGAAGGCCTGCCGTGTTCGTTAACGACTTGTGGGATGCAATTCGTTGAGGGATACCACTCACCAGTCGAACCAGAAGTATGGAGAATCAGGCTGTTGGCTGCCCCGTCGCGGCGGTGTCGTCCATCATAGTGGGGCTGTCGATGGCTCGGGTCGAGCAGATCTAGCAAGGGTGGCACTTCAACAATCTGCGTATTGGGAGCAACCTTTTGAATGTCTTCAAAACACCGGTGTCTGTCCGGCGTGCTCATGAAAAGTGTACACTCTGTCTCCTTGAGAATCGATTCCTGGCCTTCGGGAGAGTTTCGCGGCGATACGAACAGCGGCACATACCCCACCTTCAGTGCTGCGGCTAGTACGACAAGATACTGCAGGTCATTCGGACCATTATGGCGTCAGCGAGGCATAGAACGCGAAGAAGCACACACTCACCCTATGTAGCCGATGGTCTGGCCTATGGGGTCAGAAACTCCCAGCGTTTCTTCTAAAGACCAGGCTAGAGAATCCACGGCCTGTGCCAGTTGCGCATACGTGATATCACGCCAGCCTTGGTCTACGCTGCTGCTTGACCGTGGTACCCATGCCCAGACCGCGTTGGGTTCTTCTTCTGCTGCCCGATCGATATGGTCTGGCACAGCCAGCGGTGGTGGGGCTGTTGGAACCATTGTGGAATGCTTGGTATTGTAGTGATCCGCTTTGGCCGAGTGTGACATTCGTTCGAACAGGTTGTGAGACAGTGTTTCCGATAGGACACTTCACAGCTATTCAATCTTCCTGTATCCCAAGCTACAAAATGTTTGACTGACTTAACCAAAGCCATAGCTTTGGTCAGTGTCAACTTTCGCTTGTAAGCAGCTTGTAAGCAGCTTACCTGACCGAGTCAGTGATCCGGTGAAGCGACGAAAAATCGCTGTAGACAAAGCATAAGCGCAAAGATAAAGCATCGCTGACACCATCACCAAGAATTTATCTTCAAACAGCTATGTGCTGGAGAGGTATTGCAATGTTTCTGTCAATTTCCTGATCCAGCGGAAAGCATCTCACCCTTTATATACGCAAATAGAGTTACTGCCTGCTTGGCTTAGCCTAAGCTATGATTCAGCCACTATGTATGCCTTAACTCACCGCAGGGGTAGTTATTGGAAGAGGAGGCGGTACAACCAGGTTTAGATGATGGGACCAAATGCACTGCCGGCCCCAAACTAGGCAGACTGAGCAAACAAGTCAAACAATCTCTTGGATACAAGAAGATACACCAATGTTAGTTGGGGTAAGATACAGTAGCATTGATGCGCACGGGTGGAAGAACTTCCTTGTCCCAGTCGGCGAAACTACTGGAAACGACAATCAAACAGGCTGATCTGAACTGTTGCGAGCTAATCATGTTATGATCGGCGTGCTGCGATGGGGCTTCAAATTACAAAAGTTGAGCGAAGCTCGTAAGGCTATATACATAAGGAGGCTGGGTCGACGTCGAACAATTTGACGAAATGGTCGACAAGGTAGGTAGTTTTCCCTGGTATACACTTGTGCCAGGTGCAAAGTGGAAACAGGGTGTTGCCAAAGGAACTAAAATTTGCTACTTCTACGCTGGCCACGTTTTAGAAAGATCTAGGGGTGAGTCAATGTGGTCTCTATTCACAGCGCAGGATGGGTAGAGTCGCGATCGCAACTCGGATCACAGCCATGCGCAAGCCAGTTTCGTCGCACACTCAGCCCCTAATCCTGCTGCGTGCAAAGGACGCATAACTGTGCGAATAGCGAACAAATACTGTTCCTATGATGGATTTATCCTTTTCGACATTCTGCTATCTCTTTCTGCGCTGTGTCAGCTTTCGACATGCCAGGGCGCGGAGAGTCGACTAACCGGTGACAACTTTCGCGGAGCGATGATATGGAACGAGTTCTGAATCATCTGCGATGCTTGTCAGCTCTTATTCGGATCATTGTGGTTCTCCTCGCGTTGCTCGCGCTATACTCAGGCTTGCTAATCAATCAATTCAATTCAATTTCGGTCCTAGTTGAATTGAGTTGCTTATGTAATCGCGAAAAGACAAGTTGAGTTGAGTTGAATTGAAGCAACTCTGTGTTGATTGACAACATATTGCCAAGATATACGGACAGGGGTATGCAATACAAGCGAACCAATCACATTTCAGTGACTGGTCTTGGCGAAATGTGATTGACTTAACGAGGTACTCACAGAAAAGCTATCAGGAACTATACCCAATCTCTGCCAGTTTGCCAGACAGATAGACACACCAATGACATCCGTCTTAAGCCTTCCCCGATTGGCCACTGTTAGAAGACCGCTAAGGCTAAAGATGCGCGCTGGTTCATCACTCATCGGTGGAATAGATAGTATGTCTAGCGCCATCTTCGCAAGCCGAGGCCAAACGCGCCGTTTCTCTAACCAGTATGCTATGGGGGTGTTGCAAGCCTGGTCCTCAGGTGTAACACCTTGTGATATGTATGATTCGTAGTCGTCAGGCTGATCCGTGGCTGGGGAATATGGGCCCATGACAGAATTGATGAAATCGTCCAGATCCGATTTTAAGATCATATCGCGTTGCTGGGGCTCGCAGAGTTCGAGTTCATCCGGTAGTGGCTGGTTCCTATAGTCAACAGTCCAAAGCTCTCTGACTGCTTTCTTAGCGTCCTGAATCCAGTCCTTATGATCAGCCCATTGCTTCTCAAAGTACTTCCACTTCCACTTCGGGTTCAAGACTACTGCAGCGACGTAGATAGGTGACTTCTCAGTAAGCAGATAGTATTTATCAAGCTTAGCCCAGGCTTGGGTAATGCCGCGTCGGAAATGAGGATCCGGATGGGACTAATACTCTTCCTTGAAGCTTTCGAACCTATGGAGTAGCCACTCCATCGTAGGTAGTACATGCCAGATACCGGTATCTGAACTGCGGCTGGGTCTACCTTGCAGCTTTAAGGTGGCCTTTTCGAGAGGCTTCAGAATATCCAAGTAGATCGCAATAACAGCCCAGTCGTCGGCAGTTAGATAGTCTTCGGCTATCGATGGCTTCTGCGCAGAGCGGTGCGAGTTCCATTTGTAGACTTCTGGTGCTATTATTTCGTCAATCACGTTTCGAAGCTCGACTGCGCGCTGCATCTCGGCAAGGTTTGAATTCCACCGGGTGTCGTTTGCAAGAATCAGGTTGTATACAGGCTTCGTGGCTGCATCAGGATCGCCCGTAGTAATATAACTGGCCCGCTGGCGGTTTTGAAACTCTCTTTGTCTCTCTGCAGAGGACCGGATCCAAACAACTACATTGTGAAGCTTCCCGATAGGCCCTAGCGCCCGCCACTGCTTCTGCTGTTCGATGATTTCACCCATGGACTCCTGATTCTCCTCCTCAAAGCCATCAGGATTCTCGCCGAAGAGAAGCGCCCGAGCTACCAAGTTGATAACATGGCCCATACAACGGATGCGTCGCCAGCCATGTTGATAGCCAAAAGCTTCTTCCAGATCTTTTACGCACGTATCATTTTCAGAAGCATTGTCCGCAACGAAATATCCGAGCTGTTGAGGTGGGATCTTAAATCGGTCAAGAATAGATTGGATAGTAGCAGAGATTTTTACGCCTGCGTGGCCGATCTGCTCTGGAAGCGAGAGAAGGACGGTTTTGTACTCGAACTCTCGACCAAGGAAATGTGCGACAACACCTACTAAGGGGTTAGCTTGGAAGAAGCAGTTAATGTGCTACTTACCGGCTAGGCATCGCATCTGCCTGCTTGTCCAGATATCAAACGACAGATGTATCCGCGTGGTAGCATTCTGAAGCAGATCAACAATGACGGGTAGATGCCGCTCGTACTCGTCAATGATCATGCTCCGCATCGTCGTGTGGTGAGGAATATGAGGCCGGCTCTGGGGACGGAGATATTCGCATAGCTTGCGGAAATGCTCGCTCTCAAGCTTATGAAAGGGAATAGCATCAGACACTACCCAAGAAAGAAGAAGCCTCTTGAAGCGTTCAGGGTCGAATCTACTGTTCATCCAATTCATTACCTGCTGGTCTTTTGGGTCGTCCACATTTAGCTGTAATTGCTCGAGCACTGTACGGCTGCGTTTCCTAGAGAGAGGCCCATTTTTTGATATCCAGTGGACGTTGAGAAGATGTTTCTTGATATTGTCGACTCCGGCAATGATGTACTTAGTCGTGCGATAGGGCTTTTTCGAATGGCACTCGCGACAGAGCCAGTAGCGGTCCGAGCTCAGCCCTTGTTGAACATAGTAACCGTATTTCCAAAACCAAGCGCGCAACTTGTCGCTGGTTGGTGGACGTATATAGCCCGGTAGTCGCGCCCAGACAATATCTTGGTAGTGGTCATCATTTGCAAGAGAATCGGTGGACGCAGACGGCTCGAACCGGGCTTCTGTAGAGGTGGGTGGCTCGGACTGCACGGTACGGAAGTGGGTGTCGATAGAGGAGGCGTCGACGATATCTAAATCCATGACAATGTATGAGATGCTTGATAGATGTGCTAGCAGATGCGCCGGTTGACGCGTCGCGTCGTGTCGCGTCCAAACGAAAGCCAAGACGTCCTCGGTTAGCGACGCAGCCAATAGCATGCGGCGCACTAGTCATCTCAACTTATTGTCAATCAACTGGGGGTAAAGTTGAGTTGAATTGCGATTGCTTATGTCAGCAGCAGTAGGCCAGTTGAATTGACATTGAAACAACATGTTGAAACAATGTTGCCAAGAGATTGATTGATTAGCAAGCCTGCTACCCAGTCAAGATAGACAACGTCAAGAGAACAGCAGTGTTGGATGAGAAGGACGAGATTCGAGCGGGAGCAGCAGAAGCGTTTGGAGAAGAGAATGGAACGACAGTCGCCAAGATTGCGTGGCTTAGCAAGAGAGACGTCCCCAAGGCGTACGGATCTATGGTGGTGTACGTGACCAAGAAAAGTGACGCAAGGAGGCTCATCGCAGAAGGCTTCTTCCACGCGGGCGGAGAGTCCGGCACAACAAGCACATTTGAGCAGCGACCACGGCCAGGACAATGCTACAACTGCCAGGAGCTCGGCCACAAAGCGTATCAGTGCCGAAAGGCGCAGAGATGCGGGAGATGTGCCAAAGACGGCCACCACCACAAGAGCTGCAGCGAAATAGTGATGAAGTGCGTATTGTGCGGAGGACCGCACGAGTCGTTCAGCAGAAACTGTCGGATGCTATACCCACCTCAACATGAATAGAGTATTTCGCATGATCCAGCTTAATGTTAGAAAGCAAGGCGAAGTACATGACAGCCTGATGAACGACGAAGAGTTGCAAGACGTGTCGGTGGTAGCTATCCAGGAGCCGCATGCACGGAGGACCCAGGGTCGGCTGCTGACGACGCCCATGCTCCATCACAAGTGGACCAAGATGGTGCCATCGACCTGGCGAGAAGGAAGGTGGCCGATACGGAGCATGCTGTGGGTGAATAGAGAAGTAGAAGCGGAACAGGTACGGGTAGAGTCGCCGGACCTGACAGCAGCGATTATCCGACTACACGAGCGTCGGGTGTTGGTGGTGTCGGTGTACATACCAGGAGGAGATCAGCAAGCACTGCGAGACGCATGCAACAAGCTAGATACGGTGATTGAGGATGCAAGAAGAAGGGCTGGCACGGTAGTGGACGTGGTGCTGGCCGGAGATTTCAATCAGCACGACCAGCTGTGGGGAGGAGAGGATGTGACGCTGGTTAGACAGGGCGAGGCAGACCTGATCATCGATCTGATGACAGAACACGCGCTCAGCAGCCTGCTCCCGCGCGGCACCAAGACGTGGCAGTGCGGAGACTACGAGACGACAATCGACCTGGTGTTAGCGTCAAAAGAGCTGGCAGACACGGTGCTAAGATGCGCTGCCCACGACACCGAACACGGCTCCGACCACCGAATGATCGAGACGGTCTTCGACAGCTCCGTGCCAGTGCCGCAGCAGCGAGAGCGGCTTCTGCTAAAGAACGCACCGTGGAAAGCAATCAACGACAGGATCGCCAGAACGCTCAGCGTGACTCCGCCAGCGGGCACGACGCAGCAGAGGACCGACAGACTGATGGCGGCGGTGCTGGAGGCGGTACACGCACTGACACCCAGGGCCAGGCCGTCACCATATGCAAAGAGGTGATGGACGCAGGATCTGACACAGCTACGCCGCATCTACACGCACTGGAGGAACCGAGCGAGAGCCGCGAGACGGACAGGAGTGGCTAGGCCGGACCTAGAGGAGACTGCAAAGGGAGCGTCGAAGCAGTACCATGATGCCATTCGACAGCAAAAGAGAAAGCACTGGGATGACTTCCTGGCAGACAACGACAACATCTGGAACGCGGCCAAGTACCTGAAGGCGGGCAGCGAGGCGTTCGGGACAGTCCTAGCACTTCGCAGAACGGACGGGACAACTACGAGCGACTATGAGGAACAAGCTGAGGAGCTGCTCAGCACCTTCTTCCCTCCGCTTCCCAGCAGCATCGACGACGAGGGAGCCAGGCCGCAGAGAGCACCCGTGGAAATGCCGGCCATCACGCTCGAGGAGGTGGAAAGGCAGCTACACGCCGCCAAATCATGGAAAGCACCCGGAGACGACGGACTGCCTGTCATAGTGTGGAAGCAGGTCTGGCCGGTAGTGAAAGACCATGTGCTTGCGCTATTCCGACAGTCGCTGGAGGAGGGAGCGCTGCCCAGTCAATGGAGACACGCCAGGATAATACCGCTCAAGAAGCCAGGCAAGGAAGACTACACTATCGCAAAAGCATGGAGGCCGATCTCACTGCTGGCCACTCTAGGCAAAGTGCTAGAGTCGGTGGTGGTAGAGAGGATTTCGCACATGGTAGAGAAACACGGGCTTCTGCCCACCAACCACTTCGGAGCGCGCAAGCAGCGATCAGCCGAGCAAGCACTAGTGCTGCTCCAAGAACAGATTTATACCGCGTGGCGGGGTCGGCGGACTGTCAGCCTGATCAGCTTCGATGTCAAGGGAGCGTACAACGGGGTGTGCAAGGAAAGACTGCTGCAGAGGATGAAGGCACGAGGCATACCACAGAAGCTGCTGAGGTGGGTAGAGGCATTCTGCTCAGAGCGCACAGCGTCAATCCAGGTCAACGGACAGGCTTCTAAGGTCCAAGAACTGCCACAAGCAGGTCTGCCGCAAGGGTCTCCGTTATCGCCAATTCTGTTTCTCTTCTTCAACGCCGATCTGGTGCAACGACGTATTGACACGTACGGAGGCGCGATCGCGTTCGTTGATGACTTCACTGCGTGGGTCACAGGCCCGACGGCGCAAAGCAATAGAGAAGGTATCAACGCCATCATCCGAGACGCACTAGACTGGGAACGGAGAAGCGGAGCGACGTTTGAAGCAGAAAAAACGGCCGTTATCCACTTTACTCGCAAGGCGTATAAGAGTGCCACGGAGCCCTTCGTTATTAAGGGGCAGAGTGTATCGCCCAAAGACCACGTCAAGATACTCGGCGTGCTCATGGACGCCAGGCTCAAGTACCACAAGCACATCGCAAGAGCAGCCGCGAAGGGACTGGAAGCAGCACTGGAACTCAGGAGGCTGAGAGGGCTCTCACCCACAGTGGCGCGACAGCTGTTCACAGCGACAGTCGCGCCGACAGTAGACTACGCGTCGAACGTGTGGATGCATGCCTGCAAAGACAAGCTGGTAAGACCCATCAATAGGGTGCAAAGAATAGGTGCACAAGCGATCGTAGGGACGTTCCTCACGGTGGCGACATGGGTGGCAGAGGCAGAGGCGCACATCCCAAGTGCACAAGAGCGGTTCTGGAAGCGGGCAGTCAAGCTGTGGACGGACATCCACGCGCTACCGGAGACCAACCCATTGCGAAGAAACACATCACGGATGCGAAAGTTTAGAAGACAGTACCGCTCGCCGCTATTCCAGGTGGCAGAAGCGCTCAAGGACATAGACATGGAGCAGATGGAGACAATCTGGCCGTGCATCCTGGCACCATGGGAGAAGAGAGTGTAGACCGTAGTCGAGAACGCGGCACAGGGCCTCGAGGCGAACTGGGCGGTACGCATCGCTGTAAGCAGCTCGTCGCGGAACGGGGTAGTCGGAATGGGAGGCGCGATCAGCATACAGAACAACGAAAAACAATCTTTCTCCGTCACATTGGGCAAGAGTGAGGAACAGAATCCTTATGCGGCAGAGCTGGCAGCAATGGCCGAGGCGCTGAGCAGGCTGCCGAAACTGAGGTTTCACAACATTGCACTGATAACAAGGAACAAAGCTGCTGTGCTCACACTTAGAAGACCGCAGCAGCAGTCTGGGCAAAGCTATATTAGCCAGTTCTATAAGACTGTACAGACGCTAAGAAGAGACGGCAACATAGTGACAGTACTATGGCTACCCGCAAGCGAAGAGTGCGAGCTCGCAAGCCTCGCTAAGCAAGAGGCGAAGATGGCAACCAGACTAAATGCTAGGCCACGGACACAGCTCCCTAGGATGCGATCAACTACGCATAATATTGCACGTAAGCAAGGCATAGTCAAGAAGGTGCCAGCAGACGTAGGAGCATACTCTAAACGAATCGACACGGCACTGCCAGGAAAGCACACTCGACAACTCTATGATGGGCTTTCGCGGAAAGAGAGCAGCGTACTTGCCCAGCTCAGAACAGGCATGGCGCAGCTAAACACGTATCGACACCGAATCAAAGCGTCGACGACAGACCAATGCGAATGCGGACAGGCGGCAGAGACGGTGGAGCACTTTCTATTTCGTTGCAGAAAGTGGACCACACAGCGAACAGAAATGCTGCAGTGTACGCAGTCAAGTAGAGGAAACTTGCCGTTCTACCTGGGTGGCAAAGCAGCGACAGACGACGCCAAATGGGCGCCAGATATGGACGCAGTGCGAGCGACGATACGATTTGCAATAGCAACACGAAGACTCGAGGCAAATTGATATCTAACTAGTCACTAGGTAAACCTTAGATGCTAACATAAACTTGTCTACAGCCTCGTGCAATAGACAGCAGACAACGCTTCAGCCGCGGAAGATAGGACGCTGAACACTTGGAGAATCTCTTGGAGAAGCCGACTCTAAGCCAGCCTGCCGCCAGCAATACTAACCCACGAGCGTCTGATGAGGTGCATTAAATAGAGAAGAAGCGTTCTAGATATAGAGAAAGGGTTCTGACTTGGATGATAAGCTACACGAAGAAGCGAGCCAAAGAAGATATACGGGCTAAGGAGGCCGAGACGTAGCATAAGAAGTGTAAAGTTAGACTAACGTTAGTAGCCCTTTCGGCTCGGCCGCCGGGCGTAAATAAATTGTGTGTGTGTGTTGCTTGAACTCTTGACAGACAGTGTAGTCAATGCGGTCAGATACCTTGTCGTATTTCTTCTTCTCAGAGTCGAAGATGCTTTGCAAGCTTTGGAACTTCTGGATAGTGTCCTTACTTGCTGAGTCTGATGGTTTCGTCGATGTGAAGACGAGGTTCTCAATGCCCAGTGGATCGCAGTACTTCCACACTTCGTTCCGCTTAGCGAGATCTCCGATGGAGTTGTACCAATCAATCCAGTCGCTGCGGGCGTTGAGCATTGGTAGATTACCGTGTCCGTGCACACAATGCACGCCGTCAGTCAATGCACGCGCATCACCAAAACGGACTACACAAAATTGAGGCTGTAGAGCCACACACATAAGTAGTTATTATAAGGCAACTTAGCAGAGTACTCTATAGACCTATGCGACAAACTTTCTCACCAATACTTTCTTGGCCGGAGGATTTTGCGGCCGCGAGTGTTGGTTTGGTGTGGCGGTGTTGGAGTACGCGCCGTGCGCGAGGCACCACCCACATCATCTCTAGCACTACGTTTCTGCTTCTTCCTTGGTGCTGCTTGTTGTGAAGCCTTGCGCTTGCGTGTAGGCGGCTTTTGGATAGTTTTCTGATGGTCGCGAGCTTGCCTTTGGCGCTCTCTCTCTGCCTTGCGTTCAGCAACTTCCTTGGCCTTCTTAGCCTTCAGCCAGTCGCGCTCTTCCTTCTCCCTCGCGCGCGCATCACGCTTCTCCTGCGCAATCTTTTCGTTGTATAGCTTGTTAGCCTTAGCAAGCTCCTTCATGTTGGCCTTTTCCTTCTCATCTGCCTCTCTCTCCTCCCTTGCAAGCTTCATGCGGGTTTTGGCTTCTCTAAATGACCGAGGAGTCCACATCATTGAAGGGCCCCAGTACTCATAGTGTTGCAGCAGGTCAAGAGGCTTGCCCTTTATCTCTCTCCTTTTCTTGACAGTAAGAGCGTCAAGCAAACCCTCATTTTCGCTCTGCAGGAGGGTGTTCTGGATAGCTATGTGGTGGAGCGATTGCCGAACGATAGATGCGTCCTTTTCTGAGGCACCACCTAACGCGCGTTTTATAACTGTATTTAGTTTCTGCTATGCCTTACCGCCATATGTAGGAGCTTCCTCTGACGCGTTGCTAGAGGTGTCTGAGTCGTCGTTGGTGAAGCGATCGAGTATAACGTCGGGGTTGAAGGGGTGTACACCCGTTGCCTTGAACGAGCTGAAGATGTTCTTCGCAGTAAAGCTGCTCACCCAAGCGTCCCAGAACAGGCCAAAGAAGTTAGCCTTAGTCACAGGCACTAAGCCTTGATGCTTGTGAAGGCGTGTTGCGAGCTTCTTTGAGTATGCTGTGCTGAGAGGCTTGAACATTACCACATCGAGTGGCTGCAGCGTGTGGGTGCTGTGAGGTGGATAGATACCTAATAGCATCTTATGCCCGTGGCAATACTCCAGAAACTCTTCTGTTAGGTGGCTCCTATAGCCATCCACAAGCAACAGGCGGTACTTTCTTCGAGCTTTCGGTGCTGTGAAGCGCTCAAACACCTGCTGAAGCCAGGCAAGACCAAGACCATCGTTCGACCAGCCACTACCTGATACTGTAAAGAAGGCCATATGTTCTCCTGCCTTCACGTCCTCCACCTAGGTTAATTGTATGTTGTTAGAGTCAGCCGCATAGATAAGAGCCAGCGGCAACGCTGTACTATTAGCGTAAACACACGCTAACAAGCTTATCCACTCGCGATTGCCATCCTATAGCATCTGCTTAAACTGCTTCTTCTTGAACAGCCTCTTGCTAAAGATCCTCTTCTGTCTACTAACAGCTCTAATTATAAAGCCTTTCTCGTCTATATTGTATGTATTCTTAGGCTCCACTTCGTAGAAATGGATTTTGCTGCCCAGCTGTTCGAAGTACACCTTGTACTTATCACCCGAATCAGCAACGTGGCGTTTACGGTCCATAGAAGTGCTCCACTAGGATGTAAGCTTATCTTAGTGTTAGTGGAGGAAGCGGGTAACCCAGCTTTCGGAGACAGGGTGTCCAGCGATATCTAACGCGTAAATCTGTACCATCTCTCTTGTAGGAGGAAGCTTTCGCTCTGTTAAGTTCTCTATATACTTCACAAGCTCTGCCTCCTGTTCTAGTTGAAGGTTGCGACGTGCTAAACCTGCCTCCGCACGCGACCTACTAATACCTCGGTGCTTGCGCGACAACGTTAAGCGAGCAACACTATGCTTTTTAGCTATTTCTGCGTAACAAATATCTTCGTTAGAATTAAGAGCATCTAGCTCTGCAAGAGCTTCTTCTATAGTCATCGTAGCGTTGAGTTGTGGGGGGTGTAAAGTTGGGATGAAATCGCGATCGCGTGCATTGACTGACGGCGTGCATTGTGTGCACGGACACGGTATGTTCCCTCGTCGACATCATGGAAATATATTTGATTGCTTCTTGATACTTGTCTTCCTTTTCCTCAAGGTGGTTGTCGTTGTTCAACCCTTAAGTGTGGTGACGATCGCGGGGATGCGGGGTTGCGGATGCGACCCCTCACTTTCTGTTGGGATCGTGCTGACGGTCGCAACCAGCAGCGTGTTTGCAATGAGCAGTTAATAGAGATAGTAATGTCTGCATAGACTGATAATGCTGCAGAGGGAAGGTTGACCGGGCTCATAACTGTCGCACGGTTGGGTGCGGTGTTGCAAGTACGAGAAATTATGAAGTGTGTATGTCTTGTATTGTTCTAGCATCATAGCTCAGCTTAAATGAAGGTCATCGCACGGCGTTATTAGTAATAAGGTTCATGTTCCCGACAGCGCATGGCCTGCGACAACAACTTTGGAATTAGGATGAAGAAGCTCCACAACTGACGCGAGATGTCTTAGGATTTAGCCTAGAGAGCATTGATTAAGCGCGGAACAATAATTAAGCACGCGAACATAAAGCTTGATACGAATACGACCTGGGCTGTTATTCGCGCTGGCACATAGGGTTACTAGCAAACGGCTGCATGCTGCGGAACTATCGCATTGTGCACGTAACGCCTACGCACTATTGGTGGAATGACCTTGGGAACGTGGAGGCACAGCGGCACAGCGGGTGGCCTGAAGGTTAGTACCGACGGGAGGGTTCTGCGAGCCGACGCCGAAGCGGCCGTACTTGAGCTTGCGAAAGCTTGATTTCGTAGCGCTGATAGGTAAATGCACCTACCCCTTGCTAGCGCTAGGGTTAGCACAATAACCTATCTCCCCGCAGCAACATGGCGTTGGCAGCTGGCGTAGGTGTCTTCCAACTTGCTGATGCCGTATCTAGTATGCGTAAAACGTCTTTTTCTTTACTAATAAAGAGCACACAAGGATGGATAGAAGTATCGAGGTTGCGGTCGTAGATGCTCCTTAGGCGCTGCCCAGTACGGGGTCTGTGGGCGGCGAGCAGGGAAGGCGACTGTGCCGCAAAGCTGCGCTTGACTCATGTCCGCTCAAGGTCGGCTCTGGCTTTTTTAGGAACGAGTTTATTCTATCTCAGGGATTGATTGCTAAGTTGTTAGTCTATGCTTATGTACATGCCAAGGTACCCTATCGCCCCCGCCTCTTCAAGGTATGCTCGTCCTTAAGCAATTCCTTCCTCTGCACGTTGTATATTATATCCTTACGCGCTTACGGGGCACAGCAGCGGCCACATCGAACAGGCCTCTTTGTGGAAAAGCTGTTTATATTGGAGCGAGGGGCCTCAATGGAAGAATCATGGCTGGCGAGAGGACCGGCCATGGATGCGTTTCCTACATCAAAACGCGCCGCATGCGACAGATGTCGCGGTCAGAAGCTACGATGTCCGGCCCGGGCAGACCCTTCCCTACCTTGTGACCGTTGTGTACGTGCGGGCAAAACGTGTGTCACGGGTTACGCAAAGCCATTGGGACGGGCACAGCGGATTCTTGCGAATGCATCGTCCATGACATCGCAAGAAACACAAGCGCCAGGCTCTTATTCGCATAGCTCAGGCAGCAGCATCTCTACCTCGGGATCTCCGAACGATCGCTTGTCCTGGAAGAACGTGACAGTACCAAACGGCGATGCTTCATCGACGAGCTTCGCCGGAGTGAAGCGCTTGCCGCATGGGATGGATCCGTCATTGTGGCCGCTGGACTCAGTTGATCTTGACTTTTTGACGACGCAAGACATGACGGACTTTGTCGGGAACGAGAATTTTTCTGAATTATGGTCGCCGAACAGCGGCCCAACGTTCGATCATCATATTTCGACACAAGCAGGTCCGCACCATGACAACACTGCTCAACTCCTGGAGAATGTCCCGCATGGGGAATTCACACCTCCCCAGCCAGCCAGAATGGTCGAGAATGCGTCGAGTCCCAATGGGTCGTCTTTGGCTTACGAAGACTCGGGACTATCGAAAGATGCTCTTTCGGCGACAGATTGCGACCGCCGGCTCTCCGAACTGAGTGTTGATCTATCCCGCCATGTTGGTCGAATCAAGTTGCATGATTATGATCATAACTTCGATAATTCAGGTGCCTTCCCGGAAAATTGTGATCACGAGGTCCAGGATGCCATCGCGAGAACATTGAAGAGCAACTCAATGTTTATCAGTTTAATCCAGTCGTATGCGAGAGGCACATGCTCCGCTGCAGATCGCATGGAGGACGTGACATCCACCGAAGGCAATATTCTTGGCTCACCGCATGACTTTCTCTGCTCTCTCAATATTCTTAGCACCTACATTCGTCTCATCAGTCTCTCCGATAACCTCTTCAAGCAAATCTTTGCTTCGATCAAGGACGATTCAGAGCGTCACACTCGCGTCGAACCAAACGGTGCCCATGCTCGAAGCACGATTCCGCAGATCTTGCCCGGCTTACAGCTGGCAGGATTTACCGTCACGCAGAGCAGCTTCCAGGCACAAATACTTATGCAGGCCGTGCATCACCAATTCGAGACGATGGCACAGCAATTGGGATTGCCTGCAGAGCTTCGCGTATCGGATACACTGAGTCTGGAATCCGCCAGACACCCTGTCGGTGCGCCCAACTTCAAGCTCGTGGACGTGCTGCAGAAGTCCCAGTGTGGCTTCGTAGTCGCAGTCGGAGGCGAGCAGAACGGAAAGAAAGGCGATAGTTCATCGGAGCGATCCGAAGTCGTCGCCTCCCTCCGTAGGAGCATTGCCGAGGTGCAAGCGCTTCTGGGAACACTCGAGAGGAATTCAGGGCGGATTTTGAACGAGCAAATCAGTCTGTCGAAGTAAATAGCACTGAATTTATTTTCGTTCGTAATGTGGAAAATACCAATGACTACGAGAATTTGCGGTGCGAATACACTCTGCCCATTTCTACCTGAAGCTCCAGAAGCACAAGGAAATATATCCCGTTAACAGTCTAACCCAATAATTGAAGTCACGTCCAACACCACCTCATCACGAACCCACGTCCGACCCGTTCACACTCTGCAAATTCTCCCATCGCCGTCCTCCGTGAAGTCCTCACTTCCAACGACTGTGTAACCATAAAACAAACCTTCGGGATCCCATTTCTGCTTGACAGCACGCAGACGCGGATAAATATCGCCATAGAAAGCTTGTTGCCAGTGCTCTGCGCTGTCGTTGTAGACCAGCGGCTCCGCCTCGTTGAGGTACGCACCGCCGTCCGGCGTCGCAGCCTCGATGGTCGGCGTGATGGTCTTGGTCAAGTATTCTTTCCGGAACATCATGTCCTCCCACGGGATATCCCAATCGAAGAGCGCGATTTCGATGCAGATGGCAATGGCATTTCGCCAGTGCGGTGTCACGGCATTGTCGGGATGGCTGATGTTGGCGACGTTCAGCGCGTGGCAACCGAAGCCCCATCCAGGCCATCCCGCGGCGACAGGACTGTTCAGTGCATTGTCCATGGTCTCAGTCAAGTTCATTGCACGCTCTGCTGAGAGCGAGACAGCGCGCGGGATCAAGCGGCTGTTGAAGAGCATGGTTGTTGGGTAAACGCCGTATGGCAAGGGCCCGTTGCTTGCGCTGTAGTGTTCGTAATATGTCGGTTTGGTCCCGCTGGAGAACTGGTACTTGACTCCGAGACGGTCGAGTGTCGCAAGGTAAGGCGCAAACAAATCGTTCACCTGATCTGCTGTTTTGTTCGTCGCCGTGAAGGACTCAAGGAAGAAGATGGATGGCTCGATCGCCCACAGCACAGTGGCTCCAGTGTCGACAACACTGGGGAGAAATTGCCACCATTCTGCAATCGCTTCTACGAACGCTTTATTGCTGGCTGCTGCAGTGGCGTTGAAACTCATTGCAGCCGTGCCCACGGGAGCTTCGTGGTAAATCTTCACTGTCATACTGACCACGACTCCGAATGTTCCGCCACCACCACCGCTGAGAGCCCAGTAGAGGTCCTGGTTTTCCACCGGGGTTGCGATGAGGTGCTGGCCATCGGCCGTCACGACTTCCCACTCCAGGACTTGATCAGCAGCCATGCCCAGCTCGCTGTTGAGGAAGGAATGGCCGCCGCCTTGAGTGTATCCGCCGGTGAAGCCCACCGTCGGGCAGTCTCCAGATACCACACGGAAGCCTTTGGGGCCTACGAACTTGATGGCATCGTATCCAGCAACACCTGCTCCGAATTTTCCGGCGGGGCCTGAGTAGTTTCCGGCGCCACCGGAGTATTCAGGGATCATCTCCATGGATTTCATGTTGTGCGTCCAGAGGGAGAGACCTCCCTTTCCGGTCGACTTGCCGAGAAAGTCATGGCCGGTGTTCTTGATGACAAGGCGAACGTTGTGCGATTTCGAAAAATTGATGCCACCCACGATGTCGCTGACACCGGTAACGTTGATGGCGTAGCTAACATAACTGCCGAGCTCGCACGTCCTGTTCGTGTTGAACGGATCACACGATCGGTTCTGGTAGTATGGGTTCATGATCTCGCTTGATATCGGCTCATATGTCTGCGGGTAGTTCCATCCAGGTTTCAACGCGTCACACTTGCTCGCATCGAATGTGAGATTGCCGTATCCTGATGCGTGGCATACGGCAGCTTGGGGCACTGATGCGATCAAGCGTCCGTCGACGGTGCTGTTCAGCGAGTTCCATTGCTCAATTGAAGGCCAGAGATTGTCGCCAGGAATTACATTGCATGAACTGGATCCTCTTGATCCAATGCTGTGGGTCAGCCGATTAGAGTGAGCGATCGTGGGAGTCGCCCCTATCGATCTGAAATGCGGCAGTACTGCGAGGACACCGAAGGCACCGTATTCGAGCTTCATTTTGCTGCCAGTTCGACACTAAGTTATCTGAGGGATTCGAAGGGAAATACTCAGGTGTTTGAGGCAACAATAATCTATCACCGGAGACACCGAGCCTTCGATGACGAAAATCAGTGGTGAAAGGGATTGTAAGAATGGTGTTTCAGCGAGCTTTGATTCATTCCACCCGTTCAATCTCACAACATTTATAAGCGTGTATTTTTATCGATGCTGCCGCCTGTCCGTGCCTCCGTAATCTCCTACCGTTCGCCATGTGCCGCGTCGTCGTCCTCATGTCCTGCCTCTTACCGTGGACCTCAGCACGCTCTAACTCCAACATAGTTTTAGTAGAACTCAGCCGCACGAATATCTTGGATTGTGGCGTTCCACTTGACTGCAAAAATTGCTAAGTCAGTGTTGTGAGAGGCGGTAGGATCCTGATGGTGTTGGCACCAAGTGGCAACGTCCTCCGTCGGGGAAGCACCATAATATAACTCGCTGGCCAAACTGGCCAATTGTATTGCCTGAAAGACCAACATTCAAGAGTTCCCGCCCTCGTGGGACTAAAAATAAGAACCAGAAACATTCGCAGAGCATCTCCCCAACAGGCAAAATGAAGGGCGGATGAGGCTTAGCCGTACCGCGTGCCTGCCGCGGGGGCAGAATGGCGAAAGGATCAAGGGCTCACATCGCGAGCAGAGGCTGCAGTTAGGTCGCCGGTCGCGGTGAATATCCCCGGGAAAGACAACGGCACAGCTTCGGAATGTCGCGACTCGGAGGGAGCGGCTGAATTTAGCGTTCGGTGCCAACTGCCCTTTCCGGCACACTTACTGACCCGATCTTATGGCAGCAGCGAGACGTCGACCATTCCAACAATCCCTTCACTATGCCTTCCCAAGCTGCGATAGCTTTCGGCTTGCTCATTCCCGTTACGCTCGTCTTTGCTCGTACCTTCTCTCAAAACAGCACACCAATGAACAAAATGGCTGTGTCACCACCACCGCGCCCACAAAGGCCTCCATTTTCGAGCATATGGACGCAGATGTACCCGCCGTCTCCTCCATTTACCGAGAAGCGTCTACCGGATCTCGGAGGGAAGGTATGCCTTGCTCAGCCACAGTGTGGCAACTGCTAGTTTGAAAACATGGACATGTCACTCATGGCTTTGCCTCCCTAGGTTTATGTCGTGACTGGTGCATCCGGCGGCGTAGGCAAGGAAGTAGCGCGCATACTTTACAGCAAAAATGCCAAAGTCTTCATCGCAGCCCGAAGTGAGAAGAAAGCCACTGCTGCCATAGCCGATATCCAAGCGACATGCCCGAAGTCGAAGGGATCATTGGTATTCCAGCACCTTGACCTTGCCGACTTGGCAACGATCAAAGGCTCGGCCGAGAGCATCACCTCGCAAGAGAAACGTATCCACGTTCTGTTCAACAATGCAGCTGTTCAGGCTCTCGAGAACGATGCGCCAAAGACGGCACAGGGCCACGAGATCCACTTTGGCGTCAACGTACTCGGCAACTTCCTTTTCGCCAAATGCCTCACCCCGACACTCGTTCAGACTGCCAAAACCGAACCCGCTGGTTCTGTGCGCATGGTCTGGGTCTCATCACTTGGACTAGAAATGGTCGGTGAGATGTCTCATGGTATTACTTTGGACTACCTCAAATATTGGCCTGCCTGCAAGCCCCTCGAGCGGTACGGTATCAGCAAAGCGGGAAACTGGCTGTATGCTGTTGAATTTGCACGACGATACAAGGCTGACGGTGTCGTATCGGTGCCTTGCAACCCTGGCCATCTGCGTTCTGATTTATATCGTGACGGTGGATTCTTGTTCAGAACCATCATCAACGCTTTCATTGCGTACCCTTCAAAATATGGCGCATACACCGAGGTGTTTTCAGGACTTTCTCCTAGCCTGACAATCAACGATACTGGCAAGTGGGTAGTGCCTTGGGGCCGAGTGCATCCTCTGCGAGAGGACTTGCATGTCGCCGCGAAGCCGGTCACTGAAGGAGGTAATGGTCACTCGAAAGCTTTCTGGGATTGGAGCGAGGATCAAGTCAAGGAATTCCTTTAATCTAGGCAGCGTCTGGCTGGTTTGGGTATCGCAGGGTCGTGCGCAACAGTCCTCAAGGCATCGGTCTGCGGCCAATGTTTCATAGATAAAGGCACAGGATATGCGGAAGGGGGAAAAAGATATTCAGAAGGGGTAATATAACCTTGGATCACGTAAGTGTCTCAGCGAATAGGGTCTGTATAGTCTGCATACTAGATAGCTCAACGCGTATTAGGATACACACCTTAAGACTGGCGCTAATTAATTATATATACAGATTATACTAGATCTAGGATCTAAAATCACCTTATAGCGATATATAGTAGTAGTACAGGGTGCCTATATACTAGGTACTAGATACAGCTAAGCTTTAGTACTACACCTCGGTAGGCTCGGCTTTAGGTGAACATTTCCCTAGCGCCGGGCACGAATACTAAATACAGTACCAACATAACGCAGGTGCTATACTACTAATAGGTATTATTACAAGGTAATCCTAGATCCTAGATCTACTATAATATGTATGCGCAATCGATTAGCGCCAGTTTTAAGGTATGCATCCTGATATAATCCTAGATCACGTTACCCTTCCGAATATCTTTTTCCCCCTTCCGTATATCCCGTGCCTAGATAAAATTTCTGCGTTACTACTCCCGCAACAGTCAAAATTTCTCTTCTGTAAAAGTCCCCGTGTCTGGAGCCTATGTTCACAAGTCTGAGGCAGAAGAAATCGCCTCGAGTCGATGTGATATCAGTGTTCCGTTGTCGCACGGTTGGGTGCGGGTATTGTAGACAGAATAATTAGGAGAGAGTGTATGTGTTGTATTGTTTTGTAGCCTCCTAGCTGAGCTTATATAAAGGTCATCGCACGGCGTTATTAGTAACAAGGTTCCCGACAGCGCTTGGCCTGCGACATCCGTGATGAACGAACGACGTCTCGCACTGTAAGAAAATTTGCGTCCAGTCTCGCATCGTGACTCGAAGAGAAGGTTTGGCTGACATCGGTTCCGAGCAATTGAATGGATCGGCCTCGGTTTCCTGTTCTGACTAGCTATCCGACTTCAGCAGGGTGCAAATGCGTTTCGGAAGAAAATGTGCGAATATGTAGTCAATCTACAAGTGTCTTTTCACCTGGAAGCAGTCACTTTCCCGATTATCGCCCTCCATACTCTGTGACCAAAATGGTTGCCTCCGCATTCCAGACCGCGGTCATACAGCAAACGTCGAAAGATGCCCCAGCAACATCGCGACTCCCGCTGACGGTTACCACGAAGAAGCCAATTCCCCACCTTCCTTCGCCCCATCATGTACTGGTGCGCGTTCATGCCGTCGGCCTTAATCCCACAGATTGGAAGATGATAACGCACTTCTTCATGGAAGGAAATACGCCAGGCTGTGACTTTGCTGGTGTTGTAGACTCGGTCGGGGCCGAGGCTGCAGAGTCATTTCCGCCAGGTACCAGAGTCTGTGGCGCTGATTTCCCCTACCGGCCGAACAACAAAGTCAATGGCGCCTTCCAACAGTGGTGCTTGGCTGACTCGCGGCAGCTCCTGAAGTTGCCAGGCAAATGGAGTGATGTGAATGGCGCAGCTCTTGGGGCCATTGGATGGGGCACAGTCTGCATGGCACTTTCTGATGACGGAGCTCTGGCACTCAAGGGTACTCCAAAATCACCCGATGATTCGGGCGCACCCGTACTTGTGTACGGCGGAGCCACAGCTACCGGCTTGATGGCCATTCAAATGCTGAAATTGTAAGAGGGTCACCGAGATTCAAGTCAAGGTGTCATACTCTACGGACTACATCAATGACTAACATGACCGAAGGTCAGGCTATACCCCGATCGCAGTCTGTTCCGAGTCGTCGGCCCCTCTCTGCATCAAGTACGGTGCCATAGGAACGGCTTCATACACAGACAGCGACTGCGTTCGAAAGATCAAGGAACTGTCAAAAGGGATTCAAATCAAACATGCGCTTGATTGCATCACTGATGCCGACTCTGCTGCAGCTTGCTTTGCCTCTCTATCCCGCGTGGGAGGTAGATATGCCTGCCTTGAAAACTGTCCGGAGCAATGGCGCACCCGCCGGGCGGTGAAGGTCAAGGTAGTCATGGGCTTCGAAATGCAGGGAAACGACGTTGACCTCGGCCACCCCACGTACGCACGAAAAGCAAGTAAGAAGTTGTTTGATATCGGTGTGTCATGGACGAAGGAGATGCAGGGGCTATTGGACCAGGATAAGATTCAGACGCAGCCAGTACATGAGGTCAAAGGTGGCTTTGAGGGGATACTCGAAGCGCTCGAGATGCTTCGTCGCGGTGATTCCAAGGGTAAGAAGCTCGTAGTCAATATTGCAGACACATAGTGGGAGTGCGGTACGCGAATGAGTTTTACATAAATTTTTGATGCCAATATTTTCTTCTGTGACTGTTGCTGGAAGTGGTTGCGTACATAGTAAATGGACAACTACTTCTTGACTTGATCGGCGGTTGCACCCTGAAATTCCTCCTGCAACAAATCCTCAACATTCTCCCAGTATTTCCCTCTCGTGGGTAGCAGTGAGTATATCCAGTAGTTCCCATCTGAGTCCTCGTTGATCGAGAAGGTATTCAGGAACGAGGCCGATTGAGCGAATGCGTGGAGCTGCGTATAAGAGGGCCTACCGACTTTGGATGGTCGCTTCCTGTCTCCTGATTTCAAAACTGCAGCTGAGAAGTCGACCTCATGAATCTTGTTCTTGCTCCAATTTGTGCAAATGATCATCCTCATTCCAGCACTCCCATACAGGGCAGACAATCCCCGCTGCTGAGGCCCACGGTCAAGCTGGAACCGTGCTTCGATCTGCTCTCGCGTCTTCAGATTTGTGACTGCTTGACGTAGAATAAAGGCACTGCATCCAAGAGGCTGGCCTAAAAGGTCTTTTGCAGTAAAGAATGACGGCATCATCATCAATGCATTTGAGATATACGCTTTTTCTGGCGGAATTAAGTCGTAAAGCATGCGAAGACCGAGCACATTATTAATAACAATTTCTTGTTGCGGTGACGCTGGCGGCCCTGCTGCAACGATTATGCGTGCCCACCAACCACAAAGGACGTCTCCGGCGCTCAACCAAAAGGGTTCTTTGGCTTCGGAAGCAAGCTCAGACATAGCGCGCGCGCGAAGCTGAGCAACAAATGGCGCGGGAATACATATCATACGACTCTCAGAAAGGCCTTTTCCTGTCAAGTAGTCGTATAAAGCCCTCACGACGAATCGTGCAGTCTGCCATGTAGTCATTAACTTCCCTTTGTGGAGATAACTCTCTGTTGCGTTTGAACCAAGAATAGCCAGCGGGTCATCTCGATACCCATGCAAAGGAGGTACTTCGGAGATCCGACCTTGAAGTACAAGTGACCAAGCTTCAAGAAGCGATTTTCGTCCACCTCCATCAAGAACGGCATGAGAACAAGAGAGGGTTACAAGCGTGCTATCAGTAAATGACAAAATGTAAAGTCCAAGAATTGGTCGATCGTCCTGACGATTCAAGTAATCGGTAAGTTGTTCTGGGCCACCTGGCGGTCGCATTAATGGAACGAAGTCGTCGCACGCTGCAACTATTCTTGGTTCCTTAGACGCTCGTGGAAGTTTTGAAGCAAGAGGGTGCGCGTTAATTCCTGTTGTATGGACTTCATGGTGGTATGATATCGCTGGACGAGAGTCGGAAAAATTAAGAGGAACGTGGTACTCATATTTTCCCTTATCCTACCTCAAAACATACGTATTAGTGTTTGGAGTCGTTGAATTTATGCCATATCGCTTACATTTTTGCGCAGACGCGCTCCCAATTTCCTCCAGCCATCGCATTGTAAAAGCCTGGTAAGTGAAGACTTCAACATGGCCGCATCTAAAACGTCGTCAAACCGCGAAAGGTGGTAGAGAATAGCATCGCGATATGTCGTGTCCCAGAGATGAAGCGGAATGACTTCATGGCTAGAACCAACGAAACGTTTGTGCGACGATACAAAACGAATCTGGCGCAGATGCCCAGATGGCAGCGCTCGACGACGGCATCTGCCAAGCAGCAGCTTTTGCCGAAGTCCGAATGACAGCATCTTGTGGGGAGCACGAGGGACTCGACTGAGCATTGAGAAATATGGTATCATCGACTGGATACTTGCTGCAACAAGGTGGTACTCGGCACCTGAGGAAGGCTTGCGTTCGTCAATTGTGTTCTTGTGCATGTTTTTCCAGACATAGTGGCGTTAACCCTAGATGGGGACGTTCGGAGGGTCTGACCAACCTTAGATAGCTGTATCGGAGCGTTCCGAGCCGTCCGCTTGGCTGACACGAGTCAAACAGAGCGCGTGACTAAGTGTGATCATGGATCTCACCTGCAGCTTCGGCATGGGCTCTGAAAGTTTGCATTCCGTTCAAGATGGTAACCGAAGACGAAGTTCCCTGCCGCTCCACCGAAACGCTCAATGATGTTGGACAACATCGAAGTAATTGAAGTAGTATGTGCTCGGCTGTGATGTCGATACCATCACATGCTCCCAGACCTATTGTTAGTCTCTAAGCAGGAAGTTGTGAACAATGCCCAGTACCTCTCGTCAGAATGAGCCCATCGCCATTATCGGCAGCGCCTGTCGGTTCGCGGGTGGTGTCAATACCCCATCAAATCTGTGGAACTTGCTACGAAACCCCAAAGATGTTCGCACAGAGATTCCTAGCACCCGCTTCAATGCCACTGGATACTACCACCCAAACAGCGCACACCATGGCCACAGCAATGTGAAGCACTCGTATCTTATCAACGACGATCTAAGCGCCTTCGATGCTGAATTCTTCAGCATCAACCCTATCGAAGCGAAAGCAATGGATCCCCAGCAACGCGTTCTCTTGGAAGTCGTATATGAGTCCTTGGAATCAGCTGGACAACAAATCGACAATCTACGAGGAAGCGATACTGCTGTTTTCGCTGGTGTCATGACAGGAGATTGGGAGGCCATGCTTCTACGTGATCTTGATGCTGCTCCAACTTATTTTGCTGTCGGAACTTCACGCGCAGTGCTCTCTAATCGCATTGCGTACTTCTTCGACTGGCATGGTGCTGCTGTAACGATCGATACTGCATGCTCTTCAAGTCTAGTAGCTGTGCATCAAGCCGTCCAAGCTTTGCGATCAGGAGATTCTCGGATGGCTATTGCCTGTGGAGCGAATTTAATCCTTGGGCCGGAGAGCTACATTATCGAAAGCAAGCTCAAAATGCTTTCGCCTGACGGCGTTTCCCGGATGTGGGATAAAGATGCGAATGGTTATGCGCGCGGCGATGGCGTTGCTTCGCTACTTTTGAAGCCATTGTGCGATGCTATCGCTGATGGAGACCGCATCGAAGCCATAATTCGGGAAACTGGCGTCAACCAAGATGGTGCTACCGCTGGTTTGACAATGCCAAGCGCCATCGCGCAGAAGGCCTTGATTCACGCAACATACGCGAAAGCCGGACTCGACATTCGAAATGACCGTCCCCAATATTTCGAAGCACATGGCACTGGAACTCCCGCCGGGGACCCAGTTGAAGCTCAGGCAATCAGCAGCGCATTCTATGACGGAAGTATAACGTGTGCCGCCACAGATGACCCGCTCTACGTTGGTTCTATTAAGACTGTGTTGGGTCACACAGAGGGCACTGCAGGCATCGCAGCAATCCTAAAAGCTTCTTTGGCCATGCAGAATTCCACAATTCCGCCAAATCTCTTGTTTGAGAATCTGAGTCCCACAGTGGCTCCATTCTACAACGATCTTCAGATATTGACAGCACCAAAGCCTTGGCCACATCTGCCACCAAACGTGCCAAAGAGAGCAAGTGTCAATAGCTTTGGATTCGGGGGCACCAACGCGCACGCCATCCTCGAGAGCTACGTAGAGTCCTATCGTGACCCCTCTGAGAACAAGATCGCACGATTCACGCCGTTTGTGTTCTCTGCTGGCTCCGAAAAAACTCTTCGTGCGAATCTGGCTGCTTTTGCGGACTACCTAGACGGGAGTGAAGTCAACATTGACGATCTTGCGTACACCTTGCAGGAGCGCAGGAGCGTGCTGTCTCGGCGCATAGCGCTGCCGGCAGACCGACTCGTGGAGCTCAGCAGTACGATTCGAACACTCATCAGTGACACAGAGGCCACCGTCGGAACGAAGGCAACTCATAGCACAAAGCCACGTGTACTTGGAGTTTTCACAGGTCAGGGAGCTCAAAGCGCCCGCATGGGTGCATCATTGATCGAACAATCTTCGCTTGCCTCTGAGATTATTCAACGGCTGGAAAATTACCTTGCAGAGCTTCCTGTGCTTGATCGGCCGAGCTGGTCACTTCGAGAGCAGATCCTCGCAGACAATGACTCACGTGTTGGCGAAGCTGAAATCTCGCAACCTCTTTGTACCGCCATCCAGATTATGATCGTCGAGCTTCTGGCGACCGCTGGAGTGACCTTCGCTGGGGTCGTGGGCCATTCTTCCGGCGAGATCGCAGCTGCGTATGCAGCCGGATATCTGACATCTCGGGACGCGATTCTCATAGCTTACTATCGAGGTCTTCACTGCAAGCTTGCGGCTAGTCCTACGAAGGACACCAAAGGCGCTATGCTGGCAGTCGGCACCTCCATGGAAGACGCGCTTGAGCTTTGTGCCGACCCCGAATTCGCTGGTCGCGTAAGCGTTGCTGCAAGCAATTCGTCATCGAGCATTACGATCTCCGGGGACGAGGATGCCATTGCAGAGCTCCAAACCATCTTCAGCGACGAGGGGAAGTTTGCCAGGCGATTGAAAGTTGATCAGGCTTATCATTCGGCGCACATGCTTCCTTGCTACGAGCCCTATGTTAAATCGCTGCAGCATGTCGGAGTCAAGGCACTTAACCCCCCCACAGGGGCGTGTGTCTGGTACTCGAGCGTCTACGAAGGCAAAGTCGCCCACTCTGGGCTTTCTCTGGACGATGAGTATTGGGCATTGAATATGACCAAGCCGGTTCTCTTCTCTCAAGCAGTCACGGCGGCAGCGTCATCCGGGTTGTCATTCGATGTGGTTGTTGAGGTTGGACCCCACCCTGCGCTACAGGGACCTGCCTCTCAGACACTCCAAGACACACTTGAAAAGACATTACCCTACCACGGAACACTGTCGAGGAGTCTTGACGCTGTGAGATCGCTTTCATCGGTGCTGGCATTTCTCTGGTCTCATCTTGGTAAATTTGTCCAGCTGGCTAAGTGCCAAAAAGCCTTATCGCCGATCAAGTCAGTCTGTAAACTTCTCAAAGGCCTGCCTTCTTACCAATGGAACCATGAGAGTAAGTACTGGCACGAATCTCGACGATCACGCCGAATGAGATTGCGGTCGAAGCTCTTCCACCCGCTCCTGGGAGATGTTTCTCCAGATAGCGCAGCGCATCATTTGAAATGGAAGAATGTACTCCGACCCAACGAGATCGATTGGCTTGAAGGCCATCAAGTTCAAGGCCAGATTGTCTTTCCAGCTGCTGGATATGTTTCCTCCGCGGTTGAAGCAACTCTGGCACTTGCTGATGTGAAAAAGATGAGTCTTATTGAGATTACTGACTTCCACATCCACAACGCCCTGACTTTCGACGACGACAATGGGGTCGAGGTGCTGATCGAGCTCTCCAATGTTTCTGACGCTCAAAAAGACTCGATAATTGCCCATTTCACCTACTCTGCGGCACTGAGCGGCGCAGATGGCGAGCTCACATTAGCCGCCTGTAGCAAAGTCAAAATCATTCTTGGTCCATGGTCCACTGAGACGCTACCGAGCCGCCGGCCTGCGCCCCCTCATCTGATCAATGTCGAGCAAAGTCGATTATACAACTTTATGGAAAGTCTGGAATACGACTTCACAGGCCCATTTCGTTCCTTGTCGACGCTCCAGCGGAAGCTGGGCAAGGCACGATGTACCGCCCAGAAAGCAGACACCACGGATGCAAAGAGCTTGTTGATTCATCCCGTTGATCTTGATGCCTCTTTCCAGTCGGTAATGCTTGCTTATAGCTATCCAGGAGATGATCAATTGCGCAACCTACACTTGCCAACCAGTATATCGAAGATCAGGCTCAATCCCGCCGTCCTTACTCAAGACTCGTCTGACAGAGCGTTGGAAATTGACTCGATATGCAACCAAGAGGACCGTGTCACTCCTGGCGCCGGCTTCAGCGGCCACGTCGAGATTTACATGAATGGTCTCTCTCACTCAGCTATACAAGTGGATCGAGTTCTTTTCAAGCCGATCAAGTCGGGAGCTGACTCCGATCGAAATGTCTTCTACAAGATGCACTGGGTTCCGAGCGCTCCAGATGGACATCGAGCTGCATCAGGCATTCCTATCAGCCAGAACGACGTCGATCTCCTCTGGATTCTAAGTCGGATCGCTTCATTCTACCTGCGAAAGTTCGACGAGGACGTACCAGAAGATTCACCTGCGCGCCGGGAAAGCCCACTGTGCCACTATTTGAATTATGCTCGGCATATGACCCAGCTTCTGTGCAGTGGGGAGCACAAATATGCGCGGAAATCCTGGGCAGACGATACTGTGGAAGATGTGAGAGCCGAGGTCAAGGCCAAAGGAGTTGAGGACAACTCGGACGTCAAGATCATGTTCCTCGTTGGAGAAACAATGCCCCGCGTCTTTACTGGAGAAACCACAATGCTTGAGCACTTCCGCGAGTCCGGACTCTTAGATGAATATTATGCCAACGGTTTTGGCACAATGCAGTCCTCGCTATGGCTCAGTCACGCAACAAAGCAGATCACAGACCGCTCTCCGCACCTTAACATACTGGAAATTGGTGCTGGAACCGGTGGCGCGACCAAGAACATCCTCAATGAAATTGGGCACGACTTTGACAGCTACACCTTTACCGACATCTCCTCCAGTTTCTTTGAGAATGCTGCAGACATCTTTTCTCCATGGCGTGAACGCATGGTGTTCAAAGTGTGCGACGCTGAAAAGGATCCACTCACTCAAGGATTTACTGAAGGGGCATATGACGTTGTAATTGGGTCTCTCGTTGTGCATGCGACGGCACAGCTGGACAAAACTATGCGCAATCTCCGAAAGCTTCTGAAACCAGGAGGCTACTTGATCATTGGCGAAGGTAGCAGCGATGGGCCGCTGCAGTCTGGAGACGGCTTCATCTTCGGTGCTTTACCCGGCTGGTGGCTTGGCGTCGATGAGGGACGAAACCTTTCGCCATTCATCAATGTACCGCAATGGGATTCTATCCTGAAACGAACTGGATTCTCCGGAATTGATACGCTCTCACCACCAGACTTTCTCGAAACGTTCGGTGTCATACTGTTCGTCTCGCAAGCGGTTGATGAGCGTGTGGAATTCCTACGTGAACCTCTGAAGCCATCAGCCTTCACTCCCGCTATCCCAAAGCTTGCAATCATCGGTGGCGAGACAGAAATTGTTGCCACCAAGAGACTGGAGTTGAAGTCAATCCTCGGAAATATTGCCGGAGAGATTGTCACTTTTGACAGCCTCGAGACCGTCGATCATGCATTGGTCGATGAAGAAACGACCGTATTGAGCTTGACAGAGCTTGAACGTCCAGCTTTCAAGGAGATTACGCAAGAAAGATGGTACAGTTTTAGAAAGTTTTTCGAAGCTGAAAGGACAGTGTTGTGGGTCACTAAGGGTCGTCTTGAAGATGAACCCTTCTCCAACATGATTGTCGGCTTCGGGCGCTCTGCTGTGCACGAGCTCGACAATCTACGTCTACAGTTTGTAGACATTCCAGACGTGGAGTCTTTGAGCGCCACATCCTTGGCTGAAACCTTGATCCGTTACCACGCCAGGACAGTGGAGGATGATAACATCTTGTATGTTGCAGAGCCTGAGATCGTCCTTGACGCGAACTCCACCGAGCTCGTGCCTCGTCTGGCTCCAATTGCGGAAGCGAACGAACGCTATAACTCTCTCCAGAGACCGATACCATACAAAGTGGATCTTTCTGAGTCCATTATCGAACTGGAACAGGCAGAGGACGGAACCTACTTCAGAGAAATGACCAGGTTTGAGATCAACAAGGAAGTTGCTCATGCTGAAAGCATCCAGCTCCGCATCACCAATAGCTCCTTTTCTGCGATCAAGACAAGTGCAGGACAACTTTTCCTCGTTATTGGCAAGAATGACAGCAATGAGGATGTCTTGGCACTCAGCTCAAGTCTCAGCTCGACAATCAGAGTCCCAGAAGCAAGTACCATCAAAGTTGACTTGGCCGTCCGTTCAGGAAGCAAGTACCTTGCTACTGCTATCCTGGAGCTCCTGGCCTTCGGGATACTTCAGCCAATGTTTGAAGGCCAGGTTTTGGCAGTACACAATCCAACCAAAGGACTGGCTAGAGCAGTCTCTGCGCAGGCTCTCGAGCGCGGAATTCCGGTAATCTACACCACCGATGAGCAAAATGACCCGGAAAAATGCAAAAAGCTTTCAACTTACGCTAGTCGCACTGATATTGCAAAGGCTATCGGTCGTGATGTGGCCTCATTTGTCAGTTTTTCCTTTGGCATCTCGAACAATGACCAAACGATCTTGTCGGTTCTTCCGGATCATTGCCGGGTAGAAACGATCGCAACATTGTTCTCAAATAAAGGCACAACCACATTTCACACCCCAGCCATGGCTCTGCAACAAGTTTTGCTTAGCATCTCCAGCCGAGTCACGAGCCGAAAAGAGACCGAAGACAGTGAATGCGAGATCTTGAACATACGTGATCTCGCCGCAGGAACAAGCCTGCAATCACCACTGACTACCATTGATTGGGTTTCGCATGAGCCTTTAACTGCCAGGCGAAGTCGGCTTGATTACAGACCCATGTTCAAAGCCGATCAGACCTATTGGCTGTGTGGAATGTCAGGAGCACTCGGGATCTCGCTTTGTGACTGGATGATCGATCAAGGCGTCCGTAACTTGGTGTTGACCAGCAGAAACCCGAAAGTCGAGCCTGATTGGCTGGAGAATCATAAGACGAACGGTGTGAGAGTGGAGATACTCACATGCGATGTCACTGATCTTCAGGCGCTGAAGCTAGTGCATGAGAAGATAGAAGACACATTTCCACGTATAGTCGGTGTACTCAACGGCGCCATGGTGTTAAGAGACAGCTCCATACAGAACATGGAATTCGATCAAGTTACGGACGTGATACGACCCAAGGTTCTCGGAAGCAAGCATCTGGACGAAATATTCTTTGACGTGGATCTGGATTTCTTCATTTTATTATCCAGTATCAATTGTGTAATTGGCAACGTGGGACAAGCCAATTACGCTGCAGCCAACATGGGCATGGTTGGTGTCGCAGCCAACCGCCGCAAACGAGGCTTAAACTCTATTGCCGTCAATGTTGGTGCAATCATCGGTGTAGGATACATCACGCAATCAGATCGTCAACTAGATCAGACGGTAGCCAAGATGGCGATGATGCACCTATCGGATGATGACTTTCACCAGATCTTCGCGGAGGCGATGGAGGGTGGTCACCTCGATTCCACAGTGGGCGCAGAACTCTCCACCGGGCTGCTTGATATCTCACCAGATTCGGTCAATATACCGAAATGGTTTTTGGATCCCAAATTTGCTCGATTCATCGTGCATCAGATTGCAGGATCTAGCGACAAGAAAGAGCACGGCAACGCTGCATCCGTGCGGGAGCGACTCCAGAGTTGCAAAACTGAGCAAGAAGTATTGCAGACAATCAGACGTAAGTACTCCTTGAATTGCGATGTGTTATGATCTTTGAAATCCGCTGACGTGACCCAGAAACCTTCGCAGCGCAGTTGCGCAAGATCCTGCAAACAGACTTGGCTGACGATGAGATGTTGGCGATGCGCGGCTATGAACTTGGACTGGATTCGCTCATCTCTGTCGACATTCGAAGTTGGTTCCTCAAAAACTTCTTGGCCAACATTCCGGTTCTGAAAATTATGGCCAATGATGTCCAGATGGACAGCCTAGCCCAACTTGCCGCCGAAAGCATTCCCGGTAGCCTCATTCCTGGAGTCTCCTCTCGCAGTGCCCCAACCCACAGCAGCAATGGCACCATTCAGAGTAGTGCAGTCGGTAGCCGACTTGAAACACAGGCTACAAGCCCTGCAACTACACCAAGTACACCCGCCTCTTCCGTTGACGATGCAGCTTATGAAAAAATTGATTGGAAAGCTGAGACCGCGGTTCCTGAGAACATTGAACACACCAAACTCGGCCGGAAAGTCAGTGAACCGCCAAAGGTTGTGATGCTCACTGGAGTCAGTGGTCTTCTGGGTCATCACCTACTCAATCACCTACTAGAGCAACAAAGCATTGAGAAAGTCATCTGTGTAGCTGTGAGACGACTATCTGAACGAGTCGAGAAGGGAGACATTCCTCCGGCTTCTCAGCGTGTCACCTACTACGATGGAGACCTTCGGGACAGGTATTTCGGGCTACCTGAAGCTGAAGCACACAAGATTTTCGACGAGGTTGATGCCATCATTCACAACGGCTCGGACACGTCCCATCTGAAGTTCTATTCGGCGCTGAGGGACGCGAATGCAAAATCGACACGACAAATCCTTGAGTTTGCCATTCCCCGTCATATACCAATCCACTACGTCTCTTCGGCAGGAATTGCCCTCTTCGCCGGAATGGACGCATTCCCGGAAATCTCGGCCACGCTGACGGGAACACTTCCCCCAGCCGATGGCGCACATGGTTACATGTGCGGAAAGGTACGATATATAAAATTGTTCATGGAGCTCACTGGAACTAACTTGCTACATAGTGGGTCAATGAGTGCCTTATGGAGAAAGTCAATGCTCGTTATGGCCTCAAAATCTGTATTCATCGACCTTCTACAATCATCCGTGAGGGCGACGATGCTACAACCTCGAGAGCCGAATTCGATTGGGTCAATGCGCTCATCCACTACTCTCACCGCATTGAGAAGGTGCCAAAGATCTTGCATAGCCGTGGTGCATTCGACCTTGTGTACGTTCAAAATGTCTGCAAGGATATCGTCCGCGAGCTCTTCAACAGCAATCTAACGGCAGCCAATGCGGTCACATACGTCAACAACGTGGGCGATATTGTCATCCCCATGGCCAATCTTGTACAGATTGGAGATTCAAAGGGCAAGAAGTACCAAGTATTGGAGATGGAAGATTGGATTCGTGAAGCTATTGCGGCTGGGCTTCATCCGGCCGTCGCTGCGCTCATTGAGACATTTGATGAGCCGGGTTCACCGGCATATCCAAAGCTATTGAGGTCGAGGTCATGAGTCATGTACAGAATTGATTAAGATAGATAGCAATAAGAGGTTTGAAGATGCTTTAATGGTCAGGGGGTTAAGTTGAGGTCGAAAGCCTTGTGTGTCTGAACGTCTTTGTCGAGACAAGCCCGCTTTTACAGGGAGTTTTTAAGTATTAATGGTACAACAACTCAATGGATACGGTCGAATGACGCGCACCTGACACAATGACCAATACTTTTTGAAATCTATGATACACAATGAATCAAGCTCCATGAAATTCGGCTATTGTCGCTACATAGAATTACTTTGCAATGCCAGTGTCGAGGCCAGTTCCCGCTTTTCTGAACAATACCTCAGCAAAAGGACTGGCAGCCGCAGAAAATCCCACCATGAAAGGCTTGACCGCAGTGCCCGGCTCCAACTTCCAGTCGAAACGCGACAATAGGTGGCACATGATAATCTTGATCTCCGCTGCGGCGAAGAATCTGCCAGGACACACGTGCTGACCGTGACCGAATGCAAGATGATCAGAACTTGTGGATACCAGCTGAGCTGTATGATCCATTCCATGTGCTTGCCTTAGCCTCAAAAATCGATCTGCCTGCCATTCATCCGGATTCGGATAGAAACTGGCGTCCCACATACGGCACGAATCCACGACGATTCGCGAGCCTTTGCGCAATTTGAAACCCGTGCTTAAAGTGATATCATGCGTAACCCACCGGCGCATCGTAGCTGATGATCACGATATTAAGTATTTGACGTTGAAGTGTCCGCAAAGCGGATTTGCTCATGGAGTGATATGACTCACCGATGCTGGCAGGCTTTAGCCTCTGAGTTTCTTTAATCGTGCTGTCTAAGAGCTTCATATTGTAAAGTGCAGATTTCGTCCAACCATCCCGACGTAAGCACTCGGAAGTCTCTTTGCGAAGGGCTTTGATAACCTCAGGATGCTGTGCAAGGTCAATAATCACCTGCGTCAATAGATCCGAAGTTGTGTGCATCGCTGCAACCGACATGGTCAGCTGGAACTTTGCCTCGTCGATAGGGCTTTTCATCGCTTTCGATTGATCTCTGGCCCATTCAATAGCGTCATCGAAACCTTGAGCCGCCGATCCCTTGGTTTTGTTGGTTTGGACGAATTCTTGCCGTTTCCGAACAGCTTCACTGAGAACTCTCCGGGCAGATAAGAACTGCATCCTCAGCTTTTTGCACCGTGGCAAAAACCAGTGGATAAATGGACGTGACCATTGTGGCCATCTGCGAAGCTCAGCAGCTGCAACGAACATATCTATGGTGTATGTTTTGGTGATGTCGAGCCATTTCTCGTCTCGACAAAGCTCTTGCCCAAGGAAGATACGAGAAGACACTCGAGCGACAATATCCAACACAATGGGTTTAAGTTGGATTTTAGTCCAGTCTATATACCATCAGCGACATCGGACTAATTATTTGAGAGCGATTCTAGTATACCACCCCCTGCTTGAATATTACTGTCGATTGCGTGAGTTGCTTCATCAGATAAAATTGGCGTAAGCGAGGCTATCGGGTCGGTCAGAGATAACACGCGATAGCAGTTCAGATACTGAGATCAACATACGCAGCAATCTAGTCAATTGGTTTCGTGTTATGGAGGACACTAGATGCGTGTTGGAGCCCTTCAAACTTGTGAGTTCGAACCCTTTGATGTGTCCATGGAAGTCCTGCGCGGTTCAGCTCGATGTCAAGGGCGATTTGATATGTCCATATGCTGCTCACCACTTCCATCACTCGACCAAGGTCCAGATTTGGATGGTTTCGAAGTTCGTCTGCGCAATTTGGTGGAAGGACGAGCACTTCACCGACATCTGTAGCGATGCGAAACGGCTTGTCTGGATAATGGCTTCGTGCGCTTTCCATCAGACTCTTAGTCTGTGTTGTGAAAGTACCCTTTAAGACGTCGATCCACGTCAGCTGGTTCAAAGAACTACAGGTCTCTTGCTTCGAACATACCACGTAATCTGATTTGGACCAGAACGAACGCTTGCCCGGGTTGACAATCGGAACATCGCGGTAAAGGCCTTCTCCAAGGTATCCTGTAGTGCGTGTCGCAAGCGCCATGGTGCCTAAAAGCAGCATGCATAACATTGCTATCGTTGACCATGGTTGGAAATCTAGATACTCTCCAATGAAATCTGTCATATTCATCGCGAGGGTTGAGAGACCAAGATTAAGTACAAAGCAGGCAGTATCGGGTCTCGTTCTCAAACTAGAAGCCTGCAGCTTAGGAGGTGGGCCAGGAATCGTCTACACATGCCATGGGAGACAGTGCGGAGACAGGAGCACCAACAAATACTGAACCTTTGAACTAACAGCTCGCATGCGAGAAGAAGTCTGCGATTTGAACGTCGCATCTGAATCAAGGCGTGCGTGTGGCTGCGGACGCCCAGCCAGGGCCTAAGCTTCGGTGATCACAACGCCGCTTTCTGTAATTGGCAACCGAGTCCGAAAAGGATGAACAAACACTCCGTAGCTTCCATGAGTGTTTGCTCAACATTGTTGATGCAGACCACCCTCTACAAACGGAGACCCACGAGGTCTGCGTAGGTCAGGCTGGAAGTATTATATTTGATATCATGGCACATGAGGCACACCTCGAACGGACAGTCGTCGCACAAAGTTTCAAATATGCTCTCATCTCCGCTGAAACTTCCCGAGTGGAATGTTACATTTATAGTACCTCTGATTCTGGTTAGTGCGAGACCTGAAAGTTCGCATCTGAAGACTATTGCATCATGATTGCTGATTACATTATCTCGAATAGCTTTGTATATACGCCGTCGTCCTTCGTCCGCTATATAATGTTTTCCTCCACCCCTTGCGCAGATACCCTGGCCCGAAGCTATGGGCCGCATCGACCTGGCCTTGGGCAATAATGTTCTTATCCGGCAAGTCTCATCTCATGTTGCCGAAGCTCCACGAGAGGTACGGGCCAGTTGTGCGGCTTGCGCCAAACGAATTATCGTTCACTGTACCTGAGGCTTGGGAGGACATATTTGGACGGGCGCAACCTGGAAAAAGGGACGAGAATCAGAAGGCGCCTTGGTATCTCAGCCCCGGTGGTTCAGGAATCCTTGGTGCAGCCCATGCCGATCATGCGCGCATGCGCAGGCTCATGTCCAATGGCTTCTCAACGGGCGCAATGATTGAGCAGCAACCGAAGATTCGGGAGCACGTGGACACCTTGATCGAGCGCTTGAGGCGCAAGGCTACCACAAGTGATGTCCCTGTCGATCTCCGTGATTGGTACAATTATTGTACGTTCGACATCATCGGCGAGCTCGCCCTGGGTGAACCATTTGGCTGTCTCCGGGAGTCGGCCATGCATCCCTGGATATCCCTCATTTTCTCCAACATCAGACTCACAGCCATCTTGTTGGTCTGCAAGCGCCTACCTCTACTATTCGCTTTGATGCCGTTTTTTATCTCCATCAAATTGGTTCGACAATTCATGGAACACCAGAAGATATCTAACGAGAAAGTGGAACGGCGCTTGGCTCTGCCGGACGCAAAGCCAGATTTCGTGGCAAATATGCTATCTGTGAGGGGCGGTCAAGTGAGTGGGATCCGTAGATTTGCGCAGGAGTACCAGCTGACAATCGGGAAGAGCATGAGCCGACGAGAGCTAAACGAAAACGCGGTGATCCTGACTCTCGCGGGGTCCGAGACTACGGCTAGTGCTCTGTGTGGAGCGACCTATCTTTTGATGCAGCATCCGAGATGCATACAGAAGCTGAGGGATGAATTGCAATGTTATTTCAAAAGCGAAGGTGAGATGGACCTCGTCGCTGTGACGAAGTTGCCGTACCTATGCGCTGTTACCGATGAGGCGCTACGCATCTATCCGCCTGGACCCAATTCTCAGCCACGAATCACACCTACCGGAGGTAACACTGTGCTCGGGCACAGACTTCCGAAAGGTGTAAGTGCAGCTCGACCCTGAAGCAGATCGCGAACTGCTAAGCTGACGAGAGCGAATGACAGGTGGTCCTTGGTGTGCCTCACCGAGCGATGTATCTGAGCGAGAATAACTTCTACCGAGCTCATGAATTTGTACCTGAACGTTGGCTCGGGGCAGCAGGATTTGAAAATGATCGCAAGGACGCATTCAAACCGTTCTCCCATGGGCCACGAAATTGTATTGGCACAAAGTAAGCAGACCAGGCTTCGATCATGTGTGGAATTTGCTGACCTTCATTACAGTCTGGCATATGCAGAGTTCCGACTTATCCTGGCCCGTATGATCTGGAATTTCGATTTCGCATTGGCAGAGCACAGCAGGAATTGGATGGAACAACATCTTTCCTATTTGATATGGCAGAAACCTCCCCTGTATGTCCATCTCCGACCTCGCGATAACCCTCCGGCACGTGTGCGGATGACCGAGTTCCGGCCCCTCGTGGTATATTGACAAATCCTGGTCACATCGCAAGATCAATTCCTATGCCGACAAGCTGTGTGCCGGAAGAAGTCGAGGTCATCGGTGCTATGCCGTAGTTGATCGAAATATTGCGAAAGATTTCGGATATTGCCGATCGCCCGAAGAAGCTGGCGCTTCCGATCAAAGTCTGCACATCCAATTTCTGGTTCGACTCATCCTCGCCCTGGCGGCTTCTGTGGCTGTGCGGAATAGCTGATGCTGCCTCGGTGGGAAAGCCCCGATACAGTACGGCCTCCGCGATGGAAACATAACGTTGGCCGAACTTCATGGAGCATTCAGATTTCTGATGTCGGTCGACCTTCGGCGATGCGCGGAGAATTGTGACAGCCTGCAGGCATATTGAAACCATTCGGAGGGGACTTCCCAATCCGTGCAAGGGACTTATTCTATTACATTGCATATAACCCACGAATCACCTAATTTGTGCCTTCTGTCGCTTTATCTAACAGTGACTGTGCCAGTTGCCCATTAACCACTCAAACCCTAACGGCCTTTCCGAGTTTCACCCGTGAGTACCCGGAGCACACATGATGTCAGCTGAGGGCGTCGAGTTCGACCCTGCCCGGGATATTCCCAACCTCGCGGGAAAGACCATCTTGATCACAGGCGCCAACACAGGCCTCGGCCGACAAACCGCTTTGGAGCTGGCCAAGCACCACCCCGCCGAGCTCTGGTTAACGGCTCGCGACGAAGCTAAAGGCCAGGAAGTCGTCGCTGCGGTACAAAAGGTGCTCTCTGGTCATGGCACTGTTAACATCCTGCCGCTTGATCTCACTTCATTCGCTTCTGTCCAGCAAGCGGCCGAAACATTCCTCTTCAAGACATCTCGGCTGGACATTCTCTACCTTAACGCTGGCATCCTCGGAGCGCCTGCGGGGCTGACCAAAGATGGATACGAGATCCACATAGGCGTGAACCACCTTGGGCATGCGTTACTGTTGCATTTGCTCACACAGCGGTTGCTCGAGACTGCGTCGAGCCAAGGCGCTCCACCGCGTGTCGTCAGCGTCGCATCGATCGGCTACAAGTACTGTGGAGACAACGGAATTGCCCTTTCTACCCTGCGCGATCTCAATGCCGGGCTCACGCCTGTGCAGCGCTACACACAGAGCAAGCTTGCCAACGTGCTCTATGCGCAAGAGGTTGCCCGACACTTCCCACAGTTCACAACGTTGTCTATCGACCCAGGTAGCGTGGCGACTGAGCTCTTCTCGCGTGAGCCCGGCGACGCACAAGTGAAGCATTTGCAGGAGAACGTCGCTCCGAAATCGACGAAGCCCGTGCAAGAGGGTGTCAAGAACCACCTATGGGCAGGCACAATAGGCGCTGAGAAGCTGGTGAATGGGAGGTACTATGGGCCTGTCGGAAAGAGCGGAACGGAAACTGGAGCGGCCAAGAGTGAAGAGAAGGCGAAAGAGTTGTGGGAATGGACGCAGGAGGTGATTGGGTCAGTGGTGAAGGCGTGATGTGCAGATGACCACTTGGGCAACAAAGCTGCGTGCGACGATGCTCTCCACTTATATAACTTTCTATATCTATGTGGCGGTGGAAATGCATCTGTTTTGGGAGGTCTTTGGCCGCTGTTTTTGGAGGCGTTTCCACCTCGCTTAGCCTCTGGCAACGTATTTTTCCAACCACGTACTGGTGCTAGGTGTACGAATCGTTGAAGAATGTTATCATACCAGCTATACCTTGATAGACTCGCATAGAAGAGACCTAAGGTGTCTGAGTAGTGAAGTCGTCTCGTTACGCAGTGATTCTCGTTACGTAGTGGGGGATATTACAAGCCATCGCGCGTCCCTCCGCGTCGATCTGATACCTGTAAAACCGCCGTTGCGGCCCTAGCAGAGATGGACACACCCTAAGCGTCCACCAAATGCAGCGGCAGCCATCTAGCCGCGAGCCCAGACACCTCTTGAGCACAACAGTCACAACACACACACACACACACAACAGTCACTGATTGGCTTTCTGGCCAGCCCATCACCATCCGACAATGCCTGCAACGTCCCGCATCGACGAGCCCTCGGGCTGAACAGCATCACCTCTCGCGCGAACCAACTCACAGACATCTGGCATGCTACCATCGGTGCCTACAATACATACAGACTATCAGACAGCCTCGTCCACAGCCGTCTCTACTATGTCGAAGGAGTGGTGCCCCTTTGACACACCCGACAAGGTGAGGGATTCGTGCGGAGGCCCTCATGCTCAGTAGAGTCGATGGCGCGCACGAGCGGAGCATCGATCTCGTGAAGCTGCGTCACGACGAAATGCTGCTGCCGCTGCGCTCGGCGGCAGGTCACACCACACAACACAGCCGCATAGGAACCCAGTGGACGGCATCACAACACTGAAGAATATCGGAGTTCGGAGAACACATTGCAGGCCCTGGGGGCACGGGGGCAAGCTAGCACACACGACCGCTAAACGCTAGGGGGAGACTGAAGATATTGCGGTCGCAAAGCATGAGGCAAACGTGCCTCGACGAGCCTTGAAACAACGTTACACACATGAGGCTTCGAGTACGGCATACGCACAGGAAGACAATTCGAGGAAAAATACAGACAGGCAAACACGTCACTTCTTGAGGCGAAATGCACATAGTCGTAGATAGAAGCCAGACCACGCATGGGCGAGGGGACAGCTGGCTATACCATCGGTATGGTGTAGTGAGGCGGTGCTGATGGTATTTAGCCACGCGTCGGCTGTCCACCAAAGTAGGAATAAACCAACTAACCACCCAACAGACGAAGATTTTGGTCTCCCGTAATTTCGCCATGGTGCTCACGACGTAAATAACCACGTTCCCATTCAAGTATGATTTAGTCTCCTTCGTTTCATTACGTGAGTGTAGCCTTGTCAAGTCTTCTTAAGACCGACACAGTAGGCATATAATACCCGAGGCACAGCCAAGTACGAGCGAGGTACAAATGCAGTTCGTCGATTCCTTCCATGCTTGACCTGTAGCGCTCCGATCGTGCAATGACAGGCAGCACGAGGGCGATGACGCTTACCTAGTCAGACTACATGGTCAGTACGTGTTCACTGTGGCACGACCCGCACCTGGTGCTGGCGGTCATCACATGTGGCGCATCATAGCGTATTACGCTGGTGTTGCGATTACATTACCCGTTGATAGCATATCGATTATGATCCTCTCAACACTACGTTGATGGACGCCAGCATTTTGTCTACACGGCTAACCTGTCAACGCAGGCATCGTTAGGCGTGATTGGTAATGACTGGTGGATTCCATGCTCCATGATGCATTTCGTGGCTGGTACGCGATTTGTCCCGCGGCCCGCAGACTCACCTGCTAAGCTTGTTAACCTGCGTGACTGACATTTGAACGATGGGAAGAGCGTTGAGGCCGTCCTTTGCGACCCTGGCAGTTCTCGTTCACATGTGGCACTGTGATGTTGCTGCTCATTGTCATTGTTAGAGTTGTCATTCGGAACGTAGACACCCAGAGTCGCACGAACCGTTCGGCTTGCTGCGGGGTCAGCGAGGCGAATCTCGGCATATCAAGATACGTGATCAGCAGAGACTACTAGGAGCGAACAGCGCTGTCACAACCATGGTTTCGATACCAATTGCTCACCTCCATAAATACGGTCAGCAGTATTACCGTCGTACCTATCTCTGATCTCCGTACGCAGCCATGTCAGCGATGGGAAACGTGTCGAGGTCAGCTTCCATCGCCGTTATGCTAGCAGCTGGCATTATGCTATTCTCCTGCTTATCACCGAGGACATACATCCTACTTTTGAACTTGATCACTTGAGAAGGCAGAATTCTCGACACGGCGGACAGTAAGTACGGTAATGTAGGCTGACACTGTGGTGCAGATTGTTGGCACTTGCTTTACAGATGGCATTCTATCAGCATAAGCGTAACGTGGGTCAGTGACTATAAAGGTGCCGGTGCGACATGTTCGGAAACCTCGTCTGTGGTCATACATTGCTACACTCAAGGCTCACTACTGGCGGGGATCTGCGATGCAACAGGCGACCAACCTCAGCTGCATCCTGGAGGACTACGACTGCCGTCCCTATCCTCCCATTTGAAGCCAGGTGTAACGGCTAGTGACCGGTGGAACAATGTTCTTGTGCTGAACGGCTGAGCTGCAGCGTGTTGGTGACGCCAGTTGGCCACTATGTGTTTTGTTGAGACACTAGAGAGAAGGCATGTACTGCGCTAGCTGACATCAGGGAAAGCCTCGTGTGTTCAGTTCCGCATCCGGTTCCGCATTTCCGGTAGTTCCGCGCTGAACTCCGCGTCTACATCCTGCTTTGTCCACACAGTGAGTATCCTGTGGCCTTCATTTTGCATGGAACTAACATGCCAGTACGGTCAGCGCCGCTTGGCGCCGAATCGTGCTTTTGAGGCTTAATATCCCTCCGTGTGTGGCGGAAAAACCTGTGTGGCGGCACGACGATAATGCTCCCCACCACCACAAAGCCAACCACAGCAGAGAAGCGCAGAGAATCTCGGGATAGAGACCTTGGTCTCAAAGCTTCCTCTGCACTCTATCTCGTCGCCCACAAATTCCTGCTTAGCTAGCAATACCACGATTCGCTGCCAGCATACACTGCAGCCCCGCCTCGGACTGCCTCGGACGCGCTAAAGGTTCAACGCATGTATCTAAGAGTCTGTCAAGCTATACAAAGACATGTAAAGAGTGTATCCCGAGCGAAGTACTGCGGCATCCTAGGTCGTGGCGCTGTTGTGCAGGTATATTGATCTGCAGAGCGGGATCGACAACTAAGGCGCGCTACCTGCACGTCGTACGGAAAAGCCGCAAGAAGTTTAGCGGTATTCTATCCGCGCTGATGTCAGATCCTTGTACTGCCAGGGTAGCTTAGGTGAGCTACCTAGCTAACGGGGAAAAACACGACAAACAGCGAGAAATCAATTTTTGGAATTACCATCACAAAAAGTATCAAAAACACTTGCCAGTGGCCACAACAGTCTCTACAGGCCACCGCGCGTCCCCCAGCGTCGGTTGGCATCTGTAGAGCCGCTGTTGCGGCCCTGGCGGGCACAGACAGCAAAATCCGCGAGCAAGCTACTTAATATGACACGTCCACCAAAGGCAGCGGCAGCCATCTAGCCACGACACAGCAACGCAAGACGCGACGACGGAGCCCAGACACTCCTTGAATATAACGGTCACGATACACACAACGCAGTCACTGATGGGCTAGCAAGCAAGCCCATCACCATCCGACAATGTCTGCGACGTCCCGCATCGACGAGCCCTCGGGCTAAACAGCATCACCTCCCACGCGAATCACCTCACAGACATCCGGCATGCTACCATCGGTGCCACAACACACTCACAGATCATCAGACAGCCTCGTCCACTGTCGCCCCTTTGTGTTGAAGGAGTGGTGCCCCTTCGACACAACCCGACAAGGTCTGAGGAGATTTGCGCGAGAGCTCTCATGCTCAGTAGGCTCGACGGCACGCACGAGCGGAGAATCGCTCTTGTAGAGCTGCGTCACGACGAAATGCTGCTGCCGCTGCGCCCGGTGGCAGGTCACACCACACAACACAGCCGCATAGGAACCTAGTGGACGGCATTACAACACTTGAAGAACATCGGAGACCAGGGAACTTACTCCAGGCCCTGGGGGTATCGGGGCAAGCTAGCACACACGACAGCTGAACGCTAGGGGGAGACTGAAGGTATTTCAGTCGCAAAACACGAGGCAACCGTGCCTCTACAAGCCTTGAACAACGCTGCACACACGAGGCTTCGAGTACGGCATACACGCAGGAAGAAAATTCGAGGAACACAAACACAGGCAAATACGTCACTTCTAGAGACGAGATGTACATAGTCGTAGATAGAAGCCAGACACCGCAGGCCTCTGGGGACAGATGGCTCTCTCTCGAGTGAAGTGGGGCGGTGCAGATTCACGTCCGCACCGCGTCGGCTGTCTGCCACGCCTGTTATCCGGGCATAGCCTAACGGCTGAAACCGAGTAGGAAATACCAACCAACCAACCAACCTAGCTAACGGCTAAGGCTAAGCATGACGCTCGTGTTCGAATATATGCTTAGACGCCGCACTAGACTCTACGCACGCCTGTTTTGGGAGCAGATAGTAGTAGAGGTAGAGGTTTATATACAGTCCTGCAGCAACGTCGAAATCGGCTTAGAGTTATTAGTGCCGATATACAGGATCTTTCATCCTCATCTCGCAGACGACTTTGAGCTTCTAATCCCTATCTTTGCTAGCCCGCGCAGCAGCTTCGACCCTTTGCCTGTGCGTGCACGTGCGCTGCCATCCGCTATTGTAGGAGAAACAGCAAGCTGGTGCTACTCGTGCGATACAGATGCGTCAGCGTAATGCTGGTGACATGCACGTGTGGTCGGGTGGTCCTTCCCAAGTACAGCTTGGTACCCAGCGCATGCTCTCTCGTAGAGAGCAAGGGCTTCGTTATAGCGATGCCGATATGTAAGGAGGTGGGCAAGACAGTATATGCTCGTCAGCGTGGATGGATGCTCATGCCCCAGCACCTTCTCACTCCGCGCCAGCGTCTGTCTGTGCATCGCCTCCGCCTCTTCGTACTTGCCCTGCCTGTTGAGCACGTTCGCCAAGTTGTTCATGCTCGTCAGCGTGTCTGGATGCTCATGCCCGAGCACCTTCTCCCTCCGCGCCAGTGTCTGCAGGTTCATCGCCTCCGCCTCTTCGTACTTGCCCTGGCTGTCCAGCACCGACGCCAAGTTGCCCATGCTCGTCAGCGTGTCTGGATGCTCATGCCCCAGCACCTTCTCCATCCGCGCCAGCGTCTGTCTGTCCATCGCCTCCGCCTCTTTGTACTTGCCACTAAGCTCCCTAGCTAGTCCTACCATCCCCATGCTGCTCAGTGTCTCCTTATGCTCTTCCCCAAGCTCTTCACTCCTAACCTCCATCGACATCATCGCCATCTCTTCTGCCTCGCCTGCTCTCCCTCGTTGCCACGCGTACCATGCCGCCTTGTACAGCAACAGCGCCCACTCCTTCAGTGACTCTCTATCCTTCGGCCGCTGTGCCATTGCTGCCTGTGCGTGTGGAAACAGCGCCTGACACTTCTCCCAGTTCTCGTGATCTCCCGTCGGCAGCTCTGCGCACAGGCTCGAGATAAACTGCGCTCTCCACTTGTCGAGCTGCCCTTCGTTCTCTAGCCACGTGCGCGTCGCTAGCTGCACTAGGTTGTGCATCTCAAACGTGCTCGCGTCTCTGGTGACGGTAATAAACGAGTAGTCTCGCAGGGCTAGCACGTCCTCCTCAAACCCGTCGTCTGCTGTGCTGCTCTGGCGGCGGAGCAGAGCTTCCTGGATCCCCTGTCGGTCGAAGAAGCTCATCAGTGACAGCAGGCCTGCTGCCGACTGTCTTGTGCTCCGTATGTGGTCGAACGAGATCTGCCACGTTATCAGGACCGAATTGCTGGCTGCTGCATCTCGGCGAAGGTGACCCGTCTCCCGGTTCAGCAGACTTGTCTTCCTGCTGTCGCTCTGCCGGTACTCTTCGAGGTACTGCTGCACCGAGCATCGCGGCGCTCGCTCTCGAATGTAGGCCGCCGCCTGCACGAGAGCAAGCGGCATGTGATCGAGCGTCGTCGCTAGCTCAGCGATGCTGTTCCCTTCCTCTCCTATGCCTCCTAGCTTCTTGCGGAGCAGAGCGTGTGCAGCTGCATCGTGCATCGGCTCAATCGGTATGATGTCGCTGTCCTCCACGACCTGCCTCGCCGCGTGCTTTGTCCGGCTCGTCACCAGGATGGAGCCATGCCTGCTTGAGGGGATGTATCTCGATAGATGTTGTTGAAGAGCGCCGCCGTCTGTCTGAGAAAGCACAGCAGCATCGTCCGCGTTGTCGAGGACGAAGAGCCACCGTCCGTTCTTCTCGTCGCGCAGCCAGTCGTGCACCAGCTTGAACACATCCGCTTGCGGGTCTTTCCGCCCGCGAACCTTGACTTGGTCGGCGATCTCGCGGAAGCTCTGCTCGAGTCGCGCTGTGTTGCTGGCGTGCGCCCAGAACACCCACGTGTCCGGCGACTGCTCAGCGGTGCGGTAGCAGTGCTCGATGGCCAGCTGCGACTTTCTGTGCCTGCGTTAGATGCGAGCGCCGACCTAAGCTCTTTTGCCGAACCTACCCCACCCCGCCGAGGCCCACCAGCGCAACTCGCGATGCTGGCGCAGCGCATCGTTCGCGGATCTGGTCGAGCAGCGTTCCACGGTCGACAAAGTCGGGGTCGCGGCGGAAGGGTACGAAGCACGAGGGCTGTGGTGGGGTCTCGGGACGTTCTGCGCGGAAGAGCGCCGTTAGCACAGTGTCGGTCAAGGCGGGAGCGGGCACTTGCCCGGTGCAGCAAGGTGGATAGCGCCAGAGTTGTGTCCTATCTGCAGCCCCTGGTTGCTATTACCTGCGAACGTGATGTTGGTGCTAGGTAAGGCCATCATACACATTGGCGATCTGGTTTGTGTAGGAGGGAGAGCCTTGTGCAAACGGGCAGCTACGCTGGCGCGCGAGGCTTAGCCGTCACGGCTGGGTCGTCAAGGCTGGGCTGGCGCTTCAGCTGAGCTGCCCGCACATTCTATCTATAGCGCTGTGTTTATCTCTCATGCTCTGGCGCTGCTGCCTCCAACGTCAAATACTGATCTTGCGCTCGTTCCTCGGTGAGCGTCTACGCATACTGATATTCGCTTTCCATCTTCCACATCCGACGTTCTCAGCTCACTCTATTTCCGACGAACGACATGGCAGAGGCAGCCGGTCTTGTTGTTGGTGTCGTCGCCCTTGCTGGCCTCTTCAACAACACAGTCGAGTGCTTCGAGTTCGTCCAACTCGGCCGCACATTCGGAAAAGACTTCGAGACAAGTCAGCTCAAGCTCGACAGCGCAAGACTCCGCCTGTCGCGGTGGGGCAAGTCTCTGAGTCTGGACAATGATGTCTGAGATACGGTATCACTTCAGGGGCGTTTTGCGTTGGAAGCAAACGTCAAGCACGCCGAAGCCTTGTTGGGTCAGATCGTAGAACTATTCGCGGAAGCTGAAGGCGTGTCAAACAGATACAGGGGCCGGACAGAGCCTCAGGACGGCAGCCTTGCAGTATACGATCCACAAACCGACCTGGATCCGGCGATGGCGAAGCTCCACGAGAAAATGCGCCAGCTAGCTATCGAGCGCCAGAACCGGTCTGGCGTACGGCAAAAGGCCAGGTGGGCATTATATCAAGAGAAGCAGTTTAGACGACTGATCGAGGACATCACCGAGTTGGTCAACGACTTAGACAACCTCTTCCCCAACACTCAGCAGTCCCAGCGTGAGCTCTGCGACATCGAAGTCTCTACTATTGGAGAAGGTCAAGACATCTCTGTGTTGAGAGAAATTGCCGCCGCCCAGGACAAGTTGTTAGAGCAAGCTATCACGAAGGCTGCGGAGGGTGCTGGGAAGTCGCACCACATCGTCTTTTCGGGCAGTGGAAACACTGGCCTTCAGCTGGGCCACAACTCTGGTACAATGTCAGGGTTTACATTCGGGAGAGGCAGCTGAAGCTGGTGAAAAGCGACACAGGATAGTAATCGGGTGATGTAGAGTTCATAAGCTATAGATGAATAACACTCTATGCTTGTCAATAAGAAAACAATGGAGAACACACTCGTGCCGTTTACAACAACTGCACGAGGGACGGACACCCTTCGCTGGGTAGAGCACGGGCGGGGCAGCGCGCTATCGACAGAGCGGGCTGGCAGCTGTGTCCTCCCGCGACTGCCCTGATCGACGCTGCTCTAACTACTGTAGTTAATCGCGCTCCACGACCTGATCCTCCACAACCTCTTGCTTCATTCCGTTCCGCTGCGATGCAGCCTTTCTAACTGTGGAGGCGGCTCGCGCGACACTAATATCTTAACCGCGCTGTACTGTATTCCAAGCTATTTTCAAAGTTATTTTCAAAGCAGTACAAGTGCGGCGCTCTTCTAGAAGCATCTACGGACAGAGAACTATTTTTAGCATTCGAGTGGGGGGCAGAGGGCATCCTCGCTGGTTGTCCGTTCGTGACTATGGTACCACCACGATCGTCGAGATGGATGCTGCTAGCAAGGCACTTGCAGAGGCACCCCCAAACGACGATAGAACATGGGCTGCCCGGGCCGATTCCAGCGGCATCGCGATTACCACGTTATACAATCGTTGGCGAGGGCGGCCCTCGATTCAGAAAAAGGCTGAAGGCCAACAGTACCTTACCGCAGAAGAGGAGAAAGCTCTTGTCGCGTTCTTGCTACTCATGTCTAGTTTTGGACAGCCTGTCCGCATCAAGTACATACCAACGCTAGCCTTCAGCATCGCCCGACGTCGATCCCCCGCGAGTAGACCGAACAAACCTCCCGGTAAGAACTGGGCTCAAGCCTTCGGGAAACGCCACCCCGAGCTCAAGTCGAAGAGAGTAAGATTCATAGACTGGAAGCGCCATGAGATACACATATATGATAAGATCACAGAGTGGTTCGATGTTATGGGCAAGGTGCTACGGGATCCGGCTATTCTGCCGGAAAACGTATATAACATGGACGAGACAGGTGTCATGCTAAGCATGCTGGGCTCTGTCAAGGTTCTTGTAGGTAGAGACGACGTGCGAGGGCATAGAGGCGCGGGTGTCAAGCGGACCATGGTTACCGCTATAGAGTGCATCAGTGCTGATGGTAGGTCGCTACCACCTCTAATCATCTGGCCGGCCGCGACACACCGGAGCAACTGGACCACGCACCCAACCCCGGGGTGGCACTACGGAGTTTCCGAGAATGGGTACAACGATTCCAAGATCAGCCTCGAATGGCTAAAGCGCGTCTTTGATGTCGAAACTAGAGCCCGAGCTAATGGTAAACCACGAGTACTGATCTGTGACGGCTTCGGGACCCACGAGACGCTGGAGGTCCTGGAGTTTTGCTTTGAGAACAACATTACCCTGTGCCGTCTGCCTTCCCATACCTCTCACAAACTACAGCCCTGTGATGTCTCCGTCTTTGCGCCCCTGAAGACCGCCTACCGCGATCGGTTGAGCGACTGAACCGCGGCGGGCATAACACAATAGCCAAGACATTTCACTTCCTTATGCGCCAGCGGAAGGGCATTAACTAAGAGGAACATCGTTGCCGGATGGGCTACTCCGGGCTTGTTTCCCTTTAGCCCGGAGAGAGTGCTTCGTAACACACCAAAGCCGCCTGCAGGCCTCGTCGTCCCGACCGCTAACGAGGTGGGATCCTCCTCCCAGAGCGATGTACCGCTGACACCCGCAACTCCTGTGACACCGGTGACGGCAGAGGGCTTGACAGTGCTACATGACCTGATCAAATGTGATGCTCGTGCGCCTGACGAGGCGAGCAAGCAACGCCTGGAGAGACGTGTACAGAAGCTTGTGAGTGCCGCTAAGATATCTGTTGCCAAACAGAGCCTCCTCCAGGACCACAATCGCCTGCTGTGCAACGTCAACAACGAAGCCACGGTCCGCCGAACGACACGCTCCTTAGTTCTCAGCGACGGAAGGGGAGGGCAGGTGATGCGTGGGAGGACCTCCAAGGGCACGAGCGGAACGCACTGCTGGAGATGGCCGCCAGGAGAAGGGCAAGGAAAACGCAGTCAAAGCCAAACACCTACAAAGTAGAGGAAGAACAATGTCTCTGGAGGTAAAAGCGGGCCCCTCGGGCCAAGGGAAAAGTGTCGAAAAAGAGCAGGGTCCAGGAGCCTGCGCCATGGAGGGCACCAGTAGCGACGATGTATTGATGTAACATTATTAGACAACAAATACCATAAAACCGGTCACGTTGCCGAAAGACAATCTCGCGATAGATGTACATGAAGTAGTGCTCGTGTTATTCTGGCATGCACTGATGACTGCGCTAGTTCGCCATAATAGTTCAGCTGAGACAGCCCTGCTTCAGCCTCGGCGACACAGCCTTATGCGTAGGGGCAACTGTGCCGCTTCGCAAAGCCTACAACAACGCGCAAACCCAGCCGCTGTCACATACAGCGCAATGGCTTTCCCCAGCATCACCACCACGTTCACAGGCCCAGGAAACCAAGGGTTGCAGGTTGGATACAACTCGGGCTCTATCGAGACCCACATCCACGCTCCTGGTAAGTGCCCGCCCGCTTCCCGCTCTGACCGACACTGTGCTGACGGCGCTCTTCTGTGCAGAACGTCCCGAGACTCCACCACAACCCTCCTGCTTCGTGCCCTTCCGTCGCGATCTAGACTTCGTAGATCGCGGAACGCTGCTCGACCAGATCCGCGAGCGATGCGGTGCGCCAGCATCGCGAGTCGCGCTGGTGGGCCTCGGCGGGGTGGGGTAAGTGCGGCGGAAGGGGCTAAGGTCGGCGCTCGCATCTAACGTGAGCACAGCAAGTCGCAGCTGGCCATCGAGCACTGCTACCGCACCGCTGAGCAGTCGCCGGACACGTGGGTGTTCTGGGCGCACGCCAGCAACACAGCGCGACTCGAGCAGAGCTTCCGCGAGATCGCCGACCAAGTCAAGGTTCGCGGGCGGAAAGACCCGCAAGCGAACGTGTTCAAGCTAGTGCACGACTGGCTGCGCGACGAGAAGAACGGACGGTGGCTCTTCGTCCTCGACAACGCGGACGATGCTGCTGTGCTTTCTCAGACAGACGGCGGCGCTCTCCAACAGCGTCTATCAAGATACATCCCCTCAAGCAGGCATGGCTCCGTCCTGGTGACGAGCCGGACAAAGCGCGCAGCAATGCAGGTCGTAGAGGACAGCGACATTATACCAATCGAGCCGATGCACGATGCAGCTGCACGCGCTCTATTCCGCAAGAAGCTACGAGATGTAGACGAGGAGGATGACAGCATCGCTAAGCTGGCGACGACGCTCGACTACATGCCGCTTGCTCTCGTGCAGGCGGCGGCCTACATCCGAGAGCGAGCGCCGCGATGCTCGGTGCAGCAGTACCTCGAGGAGTACCGACAGAGCGACAGCAGGAAGACAAGTCTGCTAAACCAGGAAGCGGGCCACCTTCGCCGAGACGAGTCAGCCAGCAACTCTGTCCTAATAACATGGCAGATCTCGTTCGACCACATACGGAGCACAAGACAGTCGGCAGCAGGCCTGCTGTCACTGATGAGCTTCTTCGACCGACAGGGGATCCAGGAAGCTCTGCTCCGCCGCCAGAGCAGCACAGCAGACGACGGGTTCGAAGAGGACGTGCTAGCCCTGCGAGACTACTCGTTTGTTACTGTCACGAGAGATGCGAGCACGTTTGAGATGCACAACCTAGTGCAGCTAGCGACGCGCACGTGGCTAGAGGGCGAAGGGCAGCTCGACAGGTGGAGAGAGCAGTTTATCTCGAGCCTGTGCGCAGAGCTGCCGACGGGAGATCACGAGAACTGGGAGAAGTGCCAGGCGCTGTTTCCACACGCACGGGCGGCATTGGCACAGCGGCCGAAGAACAGGGAGCCACTAAAGGAGTGGGCGCTGTTACTGTACAAGGCGGCATGGTACGCGTGGCAACGAGGGAGAGCAGGCGAGGCAGAAGAGATGGCGATGATGTCGATGGAGGTTAGGAGTGAAGAGCTTGGGGAAGACAATGCGGAGACGCTGAGCAGCATGGGGATGGTAGGGCTGGCTAGGCAGCTTGGTGGCAAGTACAAAGAGGCGGAGGCGATGGACAGACAGACGCTGGCGCAGAGTGAGAAGGTGCTGGGGCATGAGCATCCAGACACGCTGACGAGCATGAGCAACTTGGCGGGAGTGCTCAACAGCCAGGGCAAGTACGAAGAGGCCGAGGCGATGAACCGGCAGACGCTGGCGCGGAGTGAGAAGGTGCTCGGGCATGAGCATCCAGACACGCTGACGAGCATGGGCAACTTGGCGTCAGTGCTCACCAGCCAGGGCAAGTACGAAGAGGCGGAGGCAATGCACAGACAGACGCTGGCGCGGAAAGAGAAGGTGCTGGGGCATGAGCATCCATCCACGCTGGGGAGCATGAGCAACTTGGCGAACGTGCTCAATAGGCAGGGCAACTACGAAGCAGCGGAGGTGATGCATAGACAGACGCTGGCGATATGTGAGAAGGTGCTTGGGCATGAGCATCCATCCACGCTGACGAGCATGAACAACTTGGCGGGAGTGCTGGACAGCCAGGGCAAGCACGAAGAGGCGGAGGCGATGTACAGACAGACGCTGGCGCGGAGTGAGAAGGTGCTGGGGTATGAGCATCCATCCACGCTGATGAGCATGAACAACTTGGCGGAAGTGCTCACCAGCCAGGGCAAGTACGAAGAGGCGGAGGCGATGCACAGACAGACGCTGGCGATATGTGGGAAGGTGCTGGGGCCTGAGCATCCATCCACGCTGACGAGCATGAACAACTTGGCGGAAGTGCTCACCAGCCAGGGCAAGTACGAAGAGGCGGAGGCAATGCACAGACAGACGCTGGCGCGGAGGGAGAAGGTGCTCGGACATGAGCATCCTGACACGCTGACGAGCATGAACAACTTGGCGGAAGTGCTCAACAGGCATGGCAAGTACGAAGAGGCG